TGAAGTATGTGAGGAACTCAACAAGAGATTCAAAGAAGTGTTCACAGAGGAGACAGAAGGGGCTCCAGAAAGATGGAGAGGTGGGGTACACCACCAAGAGCTGGACACAGTACACACAACCGAGGAAGAAGTGAAGAGGCTTCTGAGTGAGCTAGATACCTCAAAGGCAATGGGGCCAGATAACATTTCTCCATGGGTCCTGAGAGAGGGAGCAGAGGCGCTATGTGTACCTCTAACAACAATATTCAATACATCTATCGAAACAGGGAGATTGCCTGAGGCAAGGAAGACAGCAAATGTGGTCCCAATCTTTAAAAAAGGAGACAGACATGAAGCACTAAACTACAGACCAGTGTCACTGACATGTATAGCATGCAAAATCATGGAAAAGATTGTCAGGAGAAGAATGGTGGAACATCTAGAAAGGAATGATCTCATCACCAGCAGCCAACATGGTTTCAGAGACGGGAAATCCTGTGTCACAAACCTACTGGAGTTCTATGACATGGTGACAGCAGTAAGACAAGAGAGAGAGGGGTGGGTGGATTGCATTTTTTTGGACTGCAAGAAGGCGTTTGACACAGTACCACACAAGAGATTAGTACAAAAACTGGAGGACTAAGCAGGGATAACAGGGAAGGCACTGCAATGAATCAGGGAATACTTGTCAGGAAGACAGCAGCGAGTAATGGTACGTGGCGAGGTGTCAGAGTGGGCACCTGTAACCAGCGGGGTCCCACAGGGGTCAGTCCTATGACCAGTGCTGTTTCTGGTATTTGTGAACGACATGACGGAAGGAATAAACTCCGAGGTGTCCCTGTTTGCAGATGACGTGAAGTTGATGAGATGAGTTCATTCGATCGAAGACCAGGCAGAAATACAAAGGGATCTGGACAGGCTGCAGACCTGGTCCAGCAACTGGCTCCTGGAGTTCAATCCCACCAAGTGCAAAGTCATGAGGACTGGGGAAGGGCAAAGAAGACCGCAGACGGAGTACAGTCTAGGGGGCCAGAGACTACAAACATCACTCAAGGAAAAAGATCTTGGGGTGAGTATAACACCAGGCACATCTCCTGAAGCGCACATCAACCAAATAACTGCTGCAGCACATGGGCGCCTGGCAAACCTCAGAACAGCATTTCGACATCTTAATAAGGAATCATTCAGGACCCTGTACACCGTGTACGTTAGGCCCATATTGGAGTATGCGGCACCAGTTTGGAACCCACACCTAGCCAAGCATGTAAAGAAACTAGAGAAAGTGCAAAGGTTTGCAACAAGACTAGTCCCAGAGTTAAGAGGTATGTCCTATGAGGAGAGGTTAAGGGAAATCAACCTGACGACACTGGAGGACAGGAGAGATAGGGGGGACATGATAACGACTTACAAAATACTGAGAGGAATTGACAAGGTGGACAAAGACAGGATGTTCCAGAGACTGGACAGCAACACGGGGACACAGTTGGAAGCTGAAGACACAGATGAATCAAAGGGATGTTAGGAAGTATTTCTTCAGCCACAGAGTAGTCAGTAAGTGGAATAGTTTGGGAAGCGATGTAGTGGAGGCAGGATCCATACATAGCTTTAAGCAGAGGTATGATAAAGCTCACGGCTCAGGGAGAGTGACCTAGTAGCGATCAGTGAAGAGGCGGGGCCAGGAGCTAGGACTCGACCCCCGCAACCTCAACTAGGTGAGTACACAAGCAAGGTACTGTAACGAGAGTTAAGAAATAATATTTTCACATAAACGAAATTAGACATTTTTTATTCTTTAGGAGGTATTTAAAGGCATTGTGTTGTATGACCCATGCGGGTTTGGCGCTTATTCTCAAATATAATAATAACAATTGTAATAATAATAAAAGTAATAATAATAAAAGTAATAATAATAATAATAATAAGAGTAATAATAATAATAATAATAATAATAATAATAATAATAATAATAATATAATAATAATAATAAAAATAATAATAATAATAATAATAATAAAATAATAATAATAATAATAATAATAAATAATAATAATAATAATAATAATAATAATAAAATAATAATAATAATAATAATAATAATAATAATAATAATAATAATAATAATAATAATAATAATAATAATAATTAGAAGAAGAAGAAGAAGCAGAAGAAGAAGAAGAAGAAGAAGAAGAAGAAGAAGAAGAAGAAGAAGAAGAAGAAGAAGAAGAAGAAGAAGAAGAAGAAGAAGAAGACAATTTTAAGCAAATTTTATGCATCTCAGCATGGGACGCCCCTCTAGGGTAATCCCTATATACCGCTGAGCGGTTTTTAATCCGAGGAAATGAGCTTGTCCCCAATTTCTTCCCAATCAACCTGATTACCTCCCAGTAGTATACCCCTCCTCAGGCGTTGTATGACCCTTACTGGTTGAGAGCTTCACCATGATGACATTAGTAACAAACATTAATAATAACGATGCCGTCCTCAGAACATCCGACGTTCCGAATCGACGTTCGAGCTCAGAGAAACGTAAAGTAATTAGGAAATAGGAAAAGACGTAACTTCTAGTCCTGCTGAGCTTGATGTAAATAATTTTGAAAACCGACAAGTGGAAGAATGAGACACTTGTGCAACATTTAAGAATCTTTACTGAGCGGCTTCTTCAGTCCAATACGGAGAATAACAGTGGAAGATGAGGAGAAGTTTGATGTAATCAGTTCCTCAGCCTCGACTTGTGTGACTTTATTACGTGCACAATAAGCTTCTTCAGTAAAAGTCGAATACAGGAGAATACAGCACTGGCAACAGAAGAAGAAATGTACTGAAAGTTCTTGTGCAGTCTAAACGTTTCGGCAGCAAGGATACCCACAGGGAGGCCTGGTCAAGGACTGGACACTGGGGGCGTTGACCCCCGGAATACCCACCAGGTATTATGTGCCTCAAGTAATGTGATATTTGTCTACATCCTAGGCTGGACCACATCCAGACTCACACATATTTACCTATCTGACTTATATGTGGCTGGAAAGGGTTGAATCGTAGCTCCCGGTTCCTCCTCTTAACTTGCCGTTTGCCAGATTCACTCTCTCTAATCCTCTTGGGCCCTATCATTCTACTGTGAAAACTATGCATGGATCCTGCCTTACCACTTTTTCGCCGAGGTCAGTCCGCTTTCTGACCATTCTGAGGCTGAAGAAATACTTCCAGACATCCATGTGGTTCATTTGTGTCTTTAACTCCTATAGGTCCCCCCCCCCCTAAATAACTATTAGCCGCTTCTCAAACAGCATAACTCTGTCAATCTATTCATCTGAATATTTTGTTTGTTATCATGTCTTTCTAAGTTCTTCTGTCCTCCAACGTCATTAGGTTTGTTTCCGGCAGCGTCTCGTAGCTCATACCCCTTAAGTGGATGTGACTTGGACCTAACTGACTTGGGCCAGTAGGTGACTTGGGCCTGCCTAGCATGGACCAGTAGGCCTGCTGCAGTGCTCCTTCCATATGTTGGTGTAGCGTACTCAAAGATGGGTCTGACGTATGTTGTATAAAGTTCCCGGAACAACCATTTGCAGACACTCCTAAAGGCTACTCTTCGATTTGCCAAACGAGCATTTGGTGACCTGATCAAATACAGAGGCTATTCGATAGTGAGTCTCTGCCTATCTAGAGTCTACCTAGAGGGTATACCGGGGATCAACGCCCCCGAGACCCGGTCCGTGATCAGACCTCCTGGTGGATCAGGGCCTGATCAGCGAGGCTGTTACTGCTGGCCGCACGTAGTCCAACGTACGAACCGCAGCCTGGATGATCCGGCACTGACTTTAGGTATCTATCTAGCTCCCTCTTGAAGGGAACCAGGGGTTTATTGGTAATTCCCCTTATGGCTGGTGGGAGGCTGTTGAACAGTCTTGGGTCCCGGACACTTGTTTTGTTTTCTCTTAGTGTACTAATGGAGCCCCTACTTTTCACTGGAAGTATGTTGCATCGCCTGCCAAGTCTGGTGATATACCACAAGTTTCTTCAAGACACCTATTGTTCCTCTTCACCTAACAGTAAAATAGGTACCTGGATGTTAGCCAACTGGTGTGGGTCGCATTCTGGACACAAAATTTACCTAGTTTGCCCGAAATGCTCTGCATAACAAGGGCCTTTCTATATAATATGTCCCTGGTGTCAGCTAGGTCTATTATTATTATTATTATTATTATTATTATTATTATTATTATTATTATTATTATTATTAAAGTGCTATTCTATCTCCAATGTTTGTCTCTCCTAGTGAGGTCGCCGTTCCGTTCCCCGAAGCTATACTCTGTGTACATGTGCGCGTATGTGTGCGTGTGTACATATATGTGTGTATAAGTCCGGTGTTTGTCCGCATCCTGACGTACACACACGTGAGGTCGAGACCTTTAATGAGCTCAGGTGAAAGGCGTTGTGGCTCTAAGTTGGCTGAGCTTTCTTTTATTTCTATCAAATTTTGATACATACGCAATTTGCTGTTACCTTATTCTATGGGAAGGTGTAGAGACAGAAATGAGGGTAGAGTAGACTACCCCACACTTCTGCAATTACCTGTTTGTAGCTATAGGAGCGGGGCTATGCTCGTGGTGCTCTGTCTTCAGTGTTTGTTGCACAACAGCAGGGCTATGTGGAGAAAAAGACACTTCCGTACAGCGGCTCCATCAATTACTATTCTTCACTTAAATACAGTTCAGGTCATTTATTAGAGAAAATGTTTCGCCACGAGTCCTAAGCCTAGGACTGGAGAAGCCACTCGTGGCGAAACGGTCCTCTGTTAAATGTTCTGAATTGTACATAAGTGTACAAGTGTTTTTTTTCCCCACATCTTGCTGATATCATCAAGCCATTTTTCACCAGTGTTCTTCAACTCCATTTCCTCAGATGAAGCGAGCACTTTCGGCAGCTTTAAAAGTAGATTAGGAAAATATACACGAAGAATGTATGGGAGTAAGTATAATCTGCTAAGCATAGGACAATAGGCTTTTTGTAGTAATCCTCTTGTCTTATCTTGCTAAGTCTTCTTGTAGGCCACGAAGATGCTGCGGGTCTTCCAACGGAGCAGAGGAAGACATTGGATCCACTTTGGGTTTGTTAATTTCTTGTGGTCCTGAGGGTGGTCTTCCCAGTTCTTAACTTCAACCTACCTGGAGTCTACCTGGAGTTCCGGGGGGTCAACGCCCCCGAGGTCTAGTCCACGACCAGGCCTCCCCTATATTCACTTTCTCCACCTGAATACAGGGAAGCTGCAGGGATTGCTAATGGCACAATCGATCTTTGGTATCAAGCTGAAAACGACTTTAGGTTCTCTCCAGTTGTCCTGTGTTTTAATTGTCCTCTATATGAATAGAGGAAAATGAAAGTGGAGAAAAAATCCTGAATTTCTCCCTTCACTGAATGATGAAAGATTTACTGATACATAAAAACATAACACAGAACGGACGAGGTTTGAAACCAAGGCCAACCTTGTGCTGATACTAAGCTCTACCTTTGTACTGTGATAAGTACTTAAAAAAATAGAAGATCACTGCAGGAGGCCTACTGGCCCATGCTAGGCAGGTCTTTTTTTAACATTTAACCACTCACTATTATATATATGTCTAAAATTTAAAACTACCGAAGGTATTACCTTCAGTGACACTATTTTAATTACCTATTCTCACAGTAGCACCTCAGATGATGAGACATAACTGGCTGTATCTAACACAATATCTCCAATTTAAATTTTTTATTTTTTTTCACCAACAAAACTGCAACTTATATTTTTATAGCCTCGGATATGTAAATAAAAACTTCAAATAAAAATACTGAGATTTCTCCTTGAAACTGATTGAATATTCTGCTTCTCCTCTCTCCCCATATTTCATGTAAAAATGTATATACCTTATTATAACTGAATATCAGAGAGACTCCTAAATTAATTGCTTTATTCAAAGGATATACCACTGACTGTTTGAAATGCCTCACCCTGAGGCCCATTTCTACCCGGTGGTAACTTTTCCCGGATACCCGGAGGTTACTGTGTGACCATACACGGAGAACGTCACAGTCTGGAGTATTTAATTATTATTCAGTATACATTTAATATATAATCTCTGAGTTCTCTAAAATAGCTTTGGGGAACTACGATGATATAATTGTTAAGATATTTGTCAAAATCACTAAATATAAAACCTCCAGTGAATTATTATACGTTATTATCGTACACCGGACATCACCTTACTTGGAAGGGGCCAATCAGAGAACATCTCTTTTCTTAACAGCAGCCAATCAGAGACCATCTCTGGACTATTTACAACAGCAGTGACCACGAGAGGAACGTCAGAGAGTTGAAAATAGGTCAAGGACGAAAAGGAAAGTCAGTTTTAAGAAGGTCACGGAGAGGAGGTGGTCAGGTCTCCAGTAGCAGAAGAACCCACACAGTTTTAAGGGTAAGTATCCCTTAAGTTAATGGGGGTTTGAAGTCTATCGACTACACTAGAGTTATTAAAGTCTGCGTGTGACCTTTCGACGACCAGATGACAATGCCTTATTCTCTAAAGTATGGATCAACGTAAACTCTCAGCATATACAAGCTGAAAGAAATACACTTCTCAGTGCAAATATTATTTTTCAGTCCACAGCAGGATTCGAACCTGCGCACTCTGCAGTGCGCAGGTTCGAATCCTGCTGTGGACCAAGAGATAATGTTTGTAAATAATTTCGTCTGTTTGTGAATTGTCAAGCATGTTTATCTGGTCATGTGCCGAGAGATAAATATATAAGAATGTACAATAAAAAAAATCCCAAGAAAATTAATACATAAAACTTAAATTAATACATAAAACTTAAATTAATACATAAAACTTAAAATTTATTTTAACAGATTTAGAGTAAACTTTTATAGTTCACTGCAGAATGCAACGTTAATTAACATACCCAAGATTATAGTAAGACTTCACACTAGTATTCACGAATAGCCTGGCTGGTCAATAGACTGGGTCTCGTTTAGCGGTCGAAGAATCGAGCCTCCGTCACTCATTGTGCCGAATAACCACTTAGAATTCAACGCTAATTGAAATGCTAATTGTGAAAGAACAAGTCTGCTTCGACACATATTTTGCTGTACTTGACCAGCCATTTTTGAGAACACGTATTTATGATACCTTGTTTCCTGAGGATTAACTTAGATAACTAAGCAGAATGATTACCCTTACAAATGAGAAATAAGTTGTACGCTCCCTTTTATTCTGTCAGGACCATAATGTGACACTAATTGATAAAATATTGAAGATATAATGAGTAGTAAATATGAGTGGCTAATTTAGTTGAGTCATAAGTCAAGGATAAAAGTTTTAGGCATAACATCAACTATTGGAAATATTACAACTGTAAATATTACAATTACAAATATTACAAATACATTACCAATGGAAGACGGAGTAATAATATGACGTATACAGTTAAGCATTAATGACACTGCTCTAATTAGAGTATCAAGGACACTGCTAATAGAACACTAATAAGGACACTGTTTTTCAAGCAATGTGATGAACACTGCCCTTCAAACGGAATATATGGGACACTGCTATTCAAATATCAATATATGGGACACTGCTCTTAGAGATACTACTCTTGGAAAGCAAAATAAGGAACACTGTTCTTATAAACGTAATGTCAAATGATATCAGTGACATCAACAAAGGTGATGTCAAAGACACTAATTAAACATGTTAAAATTACAAAAAGGGGAGAAAATTAGTGGCACAAAATGAGATAATCTCACAAATTTAACTTTTATTAACAAACTCGGTAATTAGAGGTACTTTTTGCTAGTAGTGTTGAGATCTGGCTCCGCTGTTGTTTCACCAGCCGCTGTTGTCTGACCAGCCTTTACTCACAACACGTTCCAGTTGCTTTATAATACTTTTATCTAAAGTGTTCATTCATCATGATGCTAGTTTGGGGCTGTTGATCCTTCCCTGGATCTTATCTGATTGATTTCCATTCTCCGACAATGACTTCTAAACATATTAATGATAATTTAAACATTCCAAATCCTTACTCATGAAATCGTAATAAGACAATTGCAAACAAGTCACGGAACGAGTGGGACCTGAACCCATGGCAAGTGAATCGTAGGCCGCACTGGCCTGTGAGGTTTAGGGCTTACTTGCCACGAGTACAAGCCTCACTCTTCCATGATTTATTCCAAGACTTTGCTGAGGCATGAAAATGCAGGAGGGATAGAAAAAATCATCTAACATAAAAATGTAAGTTGCAATTTACTCTTCGCTTTTTTTTTCTTAGCGGTGAGAACAGGATAAATACAGAAAAAAATTTAATGTCCGCTTTGATCTCTGTTGAAGAGCTAACATTAGCCTAATTTTGTTAGCCATCTTAGCTTCCTACCTACCAAATTGTTTATAGATTGGCTAAAGCCAATATATAAATATTTCAGAATTTTAAGATTACCGATGGAAAGCATTTGTTTTCTACGATCCTCTGGCTCTCGACACTCATTTGGAACACTCTAAATGCAAAACTTCTACATCCATGTGGGTCATTCAAGGTGTGGAGTGGTGGAGACTTCAGCCTCTGTCAGGACTACCTAACTGCTTTTACCTGACAATGAAGACGAATAAAAACATATTTACAGATGAAGGCTGTTCTCGCGTTGCTACTGGTGATGGCTGCCGGGATCCTAGCTCAGGACACCCCTAACATGTCTTATGACGTCCATATTGACAACTCCCAACCACCTGCACAGTCTATTGGTTCCATCCTACATTACGGGCCGCCTCCTGCAGGGGGAACCAGTTTTCAATACGGACCTCCTCCTCTTCCTCCTCCACAGTCTAATGACTTGGGTCTTATGTATGGCCCTCAGTCTCCCTCTCCCTCAGTAGGGTATAAGAAGAAGCTTCACTCCTATGAAAAGTAAGAAATTGTTGTCTTTGTGTTACATAAGTTACGGACACGTACGTGAATATGTGTTTACAAAGGTTCAACAATAGTTGATGGTGTGTGTGTGTTTATGTGTGTGTGTGTCTGTTTAAATTTCAGTAGCTCCATTTTATAGAAATAGAGCTATTGTTGCCCACAGTCTCCTGTTGGGCTTTGAGTCGACAAGCAGTTGACGAAGACACTTTTAATAAAAGTAGACCTTTTATTATTGGGATGTTTAAACTAAAAAAGGCTCCATCAAGCCCTTGCAGGTGGAAAGTTGAAATGATAATACTTTTCCTTTTGCTATAAATGCCTTGTTTTTCTCATTCATTTTCAGGGATTATTTAAATAGTCGTGTATTCTGTTTGTAAAGACGTATTTCTTGCCACATTTTTTACACAGCTACGTACTCACCTTAATATATTCTCCTGATCTCCCTCTTGCTATTTTCAGTAATGTTTCCCTGTATTATCTTGTTTTCTCTCTAATACTGAATGTGTGTTCAGTGCTTTCAGTTTTACTTCATAAGTCAAATATGTAAGTTTTGAAATTTGTGTACATATACTGATGTTTATATTTTTCCTATTCTTAATATCATTTTCCACCAAGACAATACGACTCAAAAAAAAAAAAAGAGAATAGAAACATTGAATATCACTGACTCCCTGGCTATGTGTTTCCTGAAGGGAACATATATTCTGAAGCACAGAGCTGTATCATTCCCAGCCTGGCTTTCAGAGAGCAGGCACTGTACTTCCCATCTTCAAAACCCAAGTCCCGATAGTCGAGTTTCCATGAATCTTTTCACAGATCTTGTCTTGCTGACACTCCAACAGCATGTCAAATATAAAATAAAATGACATCCTCTCTCTTCGATTTAGCACGTTAACAAATGCCTCTACCTTTCCAAGCTTCCTCCTTCATACTCTCCTCTTGTAATTTCACTGCTACTCCTTCCATTCGCCACAAATTCACATTTCCGCTTGACCAATCTTACCAAATTATATCAACAACTTCTCTTCCGTTTTCAAAATTTCCTCTCTCTTCACCATTTTTTTTCTCTTGAATCGGATCCAGGTGTGTGAATCACGAGAGTCTACACTGATCCTGAACACTTTTTTCCTCACCTTGTTACAGTAACATTAATGTATTATCTTACTTTATCTCGACGACTACATTACTTAACACCATTGTCATATACATTACTAAGCCCATCATATATTTTATTTAAAACAAAAATCCGCTCAATAAATTAATGATACTCATTTCTCTGAAATTATACTTATGTTAAAATAATGTTGCTGGAAAATTAAGTCCGCTCATTTAAAACTAATGCCAAGACTAGTGTTTTTTTTTTTATTTGACTTCTCCTTGTACTGAGTGACCCATAAGGGTTTAGCACTTTAGATAAAAAAATATTGTAAACATATAATAATTTTTTATTCGCAAATAACCCGCAATTTGAAGATGAAACTTCAGACGACGTTTCGGTCATCCTGAAGCCTTTATCAGTTCAAAATTGATACCATCAACCTAAAATAATGTGCAGTAAAGCTGAGTCAGATTTGGTACAATAGCTTTTGAAGTAATATTTATCACAGATTTTAAGCACTGTCTTATTCTAAGGTACTTTTATTTTTTGATTATCATTTTCGAATCGTTCCTTTTCATTATATAATTCTGACTATTTTTTCCGAATACCTTAAGAAATATGAATTTCTAGTTGCTTGCCGTCTCTCCCACATAATCTGTCATTTGACAGATTATTGTGTCAACGCTTCGGCTTGACAAAGCTCCTGGAGAGCGACACTTTGCCACAAATCGTTTCTGTTCAAGAAAAATCGAGAAATGCTTTAGGACGACCCGAAACGTAGTCTAAACTTTCCTTTCCAAAGATCTCTGTTTTGTGAATTGCTCCAGCCACATTATCGTGACTTTTTCTTTGATTTTTTTCTCGATCTCTGTCGCTCGCAGTGCTCTCTCGCTCTTCGATGACGAATGCGGTTACTGGAAGTCCTTGAGCGTGATCCTTCTAGTGAGCCTCGGTGTGACGAGTCTGGGACTCCTCTTGAAGACGTGGCCACTCCAGAAGAATCTATTCGGTAGCGAAGACGCAGTCAACATGCTCAAAGATCCAGAGTTTGTGGCCTCCGTCCAGGACAAGATCAATGACATCTCTAGGATTCTGGCAAGTCTCAAAGAGTCCTCAGAGAACGATATTGAAGAGTAACGAGAGAATTGTGTGTGCTGACAGTGGTTGTCTATGATAATGTAAGACTAAAAACAAGTGAAGACTATCAAATGACACAAAATCTGTAATGGGAACTATAATGACGTTTCGCTCACGCTTTGTGTGCGAAACTGTTATTATAACGCATCCCATACGACTTTCGTGTCCGGTTCTCCATCATATAGGTACTTTTGTGCATTTCCAGCTAGGATTGGGGATAAAATTAACCAGTTAACTACGATTATCTCACTGTTCTTTATGTACTTAATTTACGATTACTAACGCTTGTCATTTATTTAATAAAATAGTTTTCGTCTCGTAGACGTTACTGGAATTCACCCAATATTTTTTTTTTTACCTCATCGGCCGTGTCCCGCCAAGGCAGGGTGACCCAAAGATGAAAACACATTCATCGTCATTCATTCTATCGCTGTCTTTCCAGAAGGATGCTGACATCACGGTTCGGATTATCCTCCGATATCATTGTGCCCATCTTTCCCTCAGAGTGCAGGCACTGCCATCCCACTGGCTAACCGGTTTCACTAGAACACAAGAAGGAACACTGCAGCAGGCCTACTGACCCATGCGAAGCAGGTCCATGTCACCCTGCGGCATAGCCCAATGACCCACCTAGTCAGGTCACTTCTCTTTAAGGAAGGAACACGGCATCAGACCTAGTAGCACAAGCTAGTCAGGTCCAACTCACACCCACTCACACTCCAACAGCACGTTCATTAAAAATCACTTTTGTCTCCATTCACTCGTATCGAACACTCACACAAGCCCCGAATCTCAAAGCCTCTTTTATGGCGTCCCTCCGATCATTCCTGGAACGACTTTCCTTCCCCACGACCCTCTGTGTCATGCATTTCTACTTCACTGTTTCTACAAGCCCAAACCACCTCAAGAACCTCCACACACCACACATAACTATCAAACATAACATGAAATAAATATAATAAGAAGAATAAGAAGAAGAAAGGGAAGAACATGTTGAGTCAGGCCTTAATATTTATATTTTGTCGGAGCAACTTTCCTCATACTCGTATTTTATTGAGCGTATAGCTGTATAGCCCTTGTGGCTTAGCGCTTCTTTTTTGATTATAATAATAATAATTGAGCGTATAATTTGCAATTCGTTCAATTTGCTTTGTTGCAGTGAAAAACATACACATTATACACTTTACACAACATGTAGGACAAATATACAACCCGAGTTTAAGACAATAATGTTTATTATACATCATAACTTGTACACTAACAAAGTGCAACAATAAATATATTATAAAAATAAAAATAAAAAAATCGGCCATTAAGTCGCCTCACTCCTCATGTTTACGTCCATTTTTTTAATTTAAATATGCGTGCATAAAATTTTCTTACAAATATTAAGTAAAAATATTCCGAGTTATATTCACCGTGAGATGTATGTCTCTCAGTGTATATACACCGAGCATCTACTTATTTAAAGCCGTATTTTAGGGATTAAAGTCTTCTTTAGGGGTATTGTATTGTCGACAGTCATTAAATATAATAAAATAACCATACCTATTTATATATGTTTATATATATTCGCCATGATTACGTTAAAGTGCAGTGAATACTTGTCACCGTTAAAGAAAACCCATAAGTAGACTAGGAATACACATTAATGAAATTTAGATATTTCGACCTCCAGCTAAGGTCCTCTTCAGAAGAATGTGCAAGTGATAGAAGAAGACAGGTTTATGCAACAAAGTGTAACTTGCTCAAAAAATATAATTATTGCGAAATGAAGAGTATCTGAGAGACCAGATGAGAACAAACCAGCTGGTACTGATCCTACTGTAAGAGACCAAGTGAGCACAGACCAGCTGGTACTGATGCTACTGTAAGAGACCAAGTGAGCACAGGCCAGCTGGGACTGATCCTACTGTAAGAGACCAAGTGAGCACAGACCAGCTGGTACTGATCCTACTGTAAGAGACCAAGTGAGCACAGGCCAGCTGGTACTGATCCTACTGTAAGAGACCAAGTGAGCACAGACCAGCTGGTACTGATCCTACTGTAAGAGACCAAGTGAGCACAGGCCAGCTGGTACTGATCCTACTGTAAGAGACCAAGTGAGCACAGACCAGCTGGTACTGATCCTACTGTAAGAGACCAAGTGAGCACAGGCCAGCTGGTACTGATCCTACTGTAAGAGACCAAGTGAGCACAGGCCAGCTGGGACTGATCCTACTGTAAGAGACCAAGTGAGCACAGACCAGCTGGTACTGATCCTACTGTAAGAGACCAAGTGAGCACAGGCCAGCTGGTACTGATCCTACTGTAAGAGACCAAGTGAGCACAGGCCAGCTGGTACTGATCCTACTGTAAGAGACCAAGTGAGCACAGGCCAGCTGGTACTGATCCTACTGTAAGAGATCAAGTGAGCACAGGCCAGCTGGTACTGATCCTACTGTAAGAGATCAAGTGAGCACAGACCAGCTGGTACTGATCCTACTGTAAGAGACCAAGTGAGCACAGGCCAGCTGGGACTGACCCTACTGTAAGAGACCAAGTGAGCACAGGCCAGCTGGTACTGATCCTACTGTAAGAGACCAAGTGAGCACAGGCCAGCTGGTACTGATCCTACTGTAAGAGACCAAGTGAGCACAGGCCAGCTGGTACTGATCCTACTGTAAGAGACCAAGTGAGCACAGACCAGCTGGTACTGATCCTACTGTAAGAGACCAAGTGAGCACAGGCCAGCTGGTACTGATCCTACTGTAAGAGACCAAGTGAGCACAGGCCAGCTGGGACTGATCCTACTGTAAGAGACCAAGTGAGCACAGGCCAGCTGGGACTGATCCTACTGTAAGAGACCAAGTGAGCACAGGCCAGCTGGTACTGATCCTACTAACAGCTAAGATAACGTCCTGCTAGAAGTACTGAAGAGAAACACAGGTGTACAAGAAACTTTGTAACAACGATCTATCCTGTGTAGAGCGAAACGTTGTTTATCATAACTTAATCAAATTTTTCAAGAATGTGTTGACGAAACTCTACAAAGGGCGAAATGTTGTCACCATGAAAGCTTCTTCTGAACCTGTCTCATTTATGCTAATAGAGTCCTACTCTATGTAATAAAGACACTCGTGAACAAAAAAACACTTTAGCAGCAAACTTTTCGCTCACCGAGAGCTTTGTCAGGTGAAATGCATATATCAGGTTGCTGTAGCCAGTCCATCTATAGGTGACAGGCTGCTGTAATAGATCGAGCGATAGACAGAATTTGGCATAAGTTTCCCTGTGCAGAATTATACTAACATAATAAATAATATTTGACACGCAGATTAAATATTTAAAAAAATGAACAGAAATAACTTTAATAACATATATATATATATATATATATATATATATATATATATATATATATATATATATATATATATATATATATATATATATATATATATATATATATATATATATATGTCGTGCCGAATATGTAAAACTGGTCAATTAGCAAGAACTCATTTAAAATTAAATCCTTTCTAAAATTTTCTCTTATACGTTTAAAGATATATTTTTTTCATTAATGTTAACGTAAAAATTTTTAATTTTGCACCAAAAGATTCTTAGAAAACTTACCTAACCTTATTATAACAAGCACAATTTATTTTAGCCTAACCCAACTAAATATATTTTAGATTTGTTTACAATAATTTAATACTAAACAAACACAGTGAAATATATTTTTTTCGTTAGGTTCAGAATGATTTTGGCGAAATTATTGCATACACAAATTTTCACTTGTCCTATATGGCAAGATGAACGTTGCTATTTAAGCCAAGATCGCAAGTTCTGCCTATTCGGCACGACATATATATATATATATATATATATATATATATCCTAGGTAGTAGGTTGGTAGACAGCAACCGCCCAGGGAGGTACTACCGTCCTGCCAAGTGAGTGTAACACGAAAGCCTGTAATTGTTTTACATGATGGTAGGATTGCTGGTGTCCTTTTTTCTGTCTCATGAACATGCAAAATTTCAGGTACGTCTTGCTACTTCTACTTATACTCAGGTCACACTACACATACATGTACAAGCGTATATATACATACCCCTCTGGGTTTTCTTCGATTTTCTTTCTAGTTCTTGTTCTTGTTTATTTCCTCTTATCTCCATGGGGAAGTGGAACAGAATTCTTCCTCCGTAAGCCATGCGTGTTGTAAGAGGCGACTAAAATGCCGGGAGCAAGGGGCTAGTAACCCCTTCTCCTGTATATATTACTAAATTTGAAAGGGGAAACTTTGGTTTTTTCTTTTGGGCCACCCTGCCTCGGTGGGATACGGCCGGTGTGTTGAAAGAAAGAAAGATATATATATATATATATATATAATTTATACATAATAAATAATTAATAAATAATTAATGAAAAGAAGAAATGGAGTCACTCTCTACTTTCTCGGATCAAACCTCGTTAATTCCGTCGCTTCCTATTTTCCATGAGCTATGCCCTTTCCCAAAAATAAATTAATAATAACAATATGACAGAGATCCAGAATAAGGAAATGCACATTAATAAAGACACATTTCGTGCATGAAGGAAACGTGTTGCTTACTTGATGTTTCTTACATGAAAGAGAACACGATGTCTAAGCCATATTTATGTCTCACAATGCCTGGAGTTCCTGTCTCTTGTTCTTCATGGTAAAAAGCCTCTGTGGACAGGGGAAACTTTTATTTATATTCTACGTTTCGTTCTATACTGAACGAAACGTTGTCTATAAATAAAGGGAATATAATGATTTAAAATACCGAAAAGACGGCAAGAGAGACTCAAATACGCTTTCACGAGATCCTTCACTGACGTTTTTAAGTTGATAAAACCAATTGTATGGCCGAAACGTTGCCAGTAAAAGGCTATGGGATACTACATGCATGTCTCTTTCACTTTGTCTGCCAGGCGCTGACTCTATAGTTTCTTCATCTTGCTGCAGCTGTATGTTGCACACGTCTCAGCGTCCACTCCGGAGGAGAACTTGTTATACAAGTCGCTAAACTTTGAAGTCGTCATGGAGGAGACCAACCTGAGGGGAAGGAAGGAGTTATATGTTGTCTTCATACGAAGCATGGAAACTGTATTGTCTTAGCACGGGGCTTGAGGCCTCACTGTCTTAGCACGGGGCTTGAGGCCTCACTGTCTTAGCACGGGGCTTGAGGCCTCACTGTCTTAGCACGGGGCGTGAAGCCTCACTGTCTTAGCACGGGGCGTGAAGCCTCACTGTCTTAGCACGGGGCGTGAAGCCTCACTGTCTTAGCACGGGGCGTGAAGCCTCATTGTCACAGAACGGAACTCGAATCCTCATTGTCTTAGCAAGAGACGTGAAACCTAAAATATGGATCAAAGTAATTCTAAGTATATATACGCTAAGAGAAGTACACATCTCGGTGTGTATATCCAGTGTCCATTATTATAATATAAAATTCTGAGTTTATCTGGTATTTATACAATTTATGTAAATATTTTTTTTTCTAGTGTATGAAAATATAATACAGGAAATATTTAGTTTGATAAATAATATACATCTAATGTATTAGTGCATCACAGTAAATACTGAAGAAATTAAATAAATAAAATCTTTCGCATTTTTTACATAACGGATTGAGAACACGAGTGGAAAAAAATAGAATAAATTGGGATGTCATCACGGATAAAATACCTGAGACAACTGTATCGAAGACACAAACATATTAGAGTATATTGAGGACAAGCTACATGCTAATCAGATGGGAGACCCCGTTACCTACACTTACCACACCTGTCTATCATCACCTCACAACCGCCTCACTTACCCACACCTGCCAATCACACCTGCTTCACCGTACACTGCCACACTTACCAAATCTGTCGATCATTACCACACTTCTCACGCTGTATTAAAAGGTATTTGTGTTCTCGCTAATAAGACCATTACATAAGAACATAAGGATGGAGGAACACTGCGGCAGGCCTACTGGCCCATACCAGAAACAGCTTTCTCAAACCCAATCCCACTAACAATTATATTTGCCCAACCCATTTTCAATGCCACCCAAGGAATAAGCTTTGATAAACCCTATTAACTCGTATGCAAGTCCCATTCAAATCCTACCCCTCTCACTCATGTATTTTTTTTTCTTTTTCAACGAGCCGGACGTATCCCACCGAGGCAGGGTGACCTAAAAAGAATATGTTTTTCTTTTTAAATTTATTAATTAATAGAGGAGAAGAGGTTACTAGCCCCTCGCTCCCGTTCATGTACTTAACTAGGCTAAATTTGCAGCTACCCAAGACCTAAATTTGAAACTACCCAGAAACCTAAATTTGAAGTTATCACAATCAATGGATTTTAGTGCCATCCCCGTTAACTTAAACCCATTTATCAACCCTAAGGTATTAAAGAAACTGTGTCACATCGACTCGCCCTTCTATTATCTTCAACACTTTACCATCTTCGTGTAACCTGAATACCAGGAGAGGCTTTGTCAATAATATTTCAATAATGCTGTCGCCATCCGACGCCCAGATTGCTGATCTACAAAATGTTAGTAAATTCAACAGCATTTTCCTTATTGGCGAATTTTTATGTCTTGTGAAACTTCTTATTAATATACATTTGTGTACAAGAGTAAGGCTTCGTGTCTAACTGCATCCTGCTCTCTCCATTTTATATATATATATTATATATATATATATATATATATATATATATATATATATATTATATATATATATATATATATATATATATTTATAATATATATATATATATATATATATATATATATATATATAATGTATACCAGAGTTGGCACTCATGATCTGGTGGTCCTGAAATCACCAGCCGAACGCATGAAGCGCTAAACCAGTATGGATCATTCCCCTTAAGAAGTAATACTTATGTTGGGGTGACGGAAGTTAGTCAGGTTTGGTGTAAGGAAGAGAAAATGACACTGACCACAAAGTTTGTTTTAAGGAAAAGAGAACGACACTGACCACAAACCTTGGTCTAAAACTGACCACACCAGCCCCAGGGCAACTCTCCCTCACAATGCGAAGCTCTTCTTTATCTCACCTGTGCACAAGTCCCTTGTGTCGCTGCCTGAGGGAGGAGGTCGCTGCTCCCAATTTACAAGCCAGGCGCTGCATACATTCCTCTGACTCAAGGGCTGTCTGATACACCCCCACCAGGTGTTCCGTCAGCCCCTCCTTCACCACCGTCTCTGTACCTGATAAACAAGGTATAATACCGTCAAGGCTTGCTTCTGCTGTCAAATAGTATTTATGATTTTGCATTCATTGTGCAGCTCTAAACCTGCAGGGGCCATACAACGCCTGCCTAATGAAAGATAAAGTGATAATGTACTACTAAAACATACGAAATATAACAAAAACTATTTAAGCCCTAACATACGTTTAACAAAGCTAACAAAGTTTGCAACAAAGTATATAAACCCCAATTAGGGATTAAAGAAAACTTTCAGTTTTCTTTAATCCCTAATTTAGGGAATTAAAGCATGGTTATCCGGTGGGGAAAATGTTACATGCAGTATTGATGACCCTAGTTTAATCAACAGGCTTTAAACTCCATTAACCTTAATCCCCACAACACATTAACGTGATATAACCATACTAGAGAGTGCAGCGGCATTATCATGATAAGATACTGTAATGTCGGCTCACGTCTCACCAGCCACGTCACATAACGAAAGAAAGTGCTATCAGCTATGTATTTCTCTGTTAATGGATTAGTCGCTTAATTTATATTCACAACTTTCTAAGCAATAAAGTCACGAAGCTGTGTACTGAAAATCTTGGCGATTTTCAGTTTCTGGCAGTCAAGCGATAGTTGCTAGACTATAATAAAATCTCAGGTTAAAATAAACTTTCATTAATAACAATGCATCATCAATAAATATGATAATAACCAATAAAACAATGAACTAATGTAATATAAATTACTTAAGTAATAAGCAAACCGACCTTATACACAACTAATCAGGTCAACTCACACCCACCCACATACTAATATTATTATCCAACCTATTTTTAAAGCTACACAACTTTGCCTCTATAACGGTACTTGGAGTTGTTTCCACTCATCCACAACTCTATTACCAAACCAGTACTTTCCTATATCCCTCCTGAATCTGAATTTTTCCAACTTAAAACCATTGCTGCGAGTCCTGTCTAGGCTAGACATTTTCAGCACACTAATTTACATCCCCTTTATTTATTCCTGTCTTCCACTTATAAACCTCAATCATATCCCCCCTAATTCTACGTCTTTCTAGAGAGTGCAGTTTTCAGGGCCCTTAGTCTATCCTCATAGGAAGGTTTCTGATACATGGGATCATCTTGTCATCCTCCTTTGTACATTTTCCAGAGAATTTATATCCATTCTGTAATACGGTGACCAAACTGTGCAGCATAATCTAAATGAGCCTAACCAAGGATGTATAGAGTTGAAGAACAACCTGAGGACTCCTATTATTTATGCTTCTTGATATGAAGCCAAGGATTCTATTAGCTTTATTGCGAACACTTATGCACTGTTGTCTTGGTTTCAGATTACTGCTAACCAGAACTCCTAAATCTTTTTCGCAATCCGTAATATTAAGATCTACATTATTTAGTTTATATGTGGCATGGTTATTGTCCTGTCCAACATTTAGAACTTTGCATTTGTCTATATTAAACTGCATCTGCCACTTCTACCGACCACTGCATCAGTCTATTCAAAATCCTCCTGGAGTGGCTCGAATGTCCTCGTCAGAATGAATTCGACGGCCTATTTTGGTGTCATCGGCAAACTTGCCGATGTCGCTCTTTATGCCCTCATCTATGTCGTTTATGTAGATTGTGAACTACAGCAGGGGCCCAACACTGACCCCTGTGGAACACCGCTCGTGACGCTTCCCCACTCTGATTTCTCCCCATTTATGCAAACTCTCTGCTGCCTATTTGTCAACCATGCCTCTATCCAGAAAAAATTTCTCCTCCTATTCCATGTGCTTTAATTTTCCTCAATATCTCTGATGTGGGACCCTGTCAAAAGCCTTACTGAAGTCCATATACACAATATCATATTCATTACCATGATCTACCTCCTCAAATACCTTAGTGAAAAAAGTTAATAAATTCGTAAGCAGGAACGCCCCTTTGTAAAACCATGCTGAGATTCGTTGATTAATTTATGCTTTTCAAGGTGGCTACGAACTGCCCGGCAATTATGATTCCATAAATTTTCCCACTATGGAGGTTAGGCTTATTGTCTATAGTTCGAAGCTAAGGACCTGTCACCTGTTTTGAAAATAGTATCACATTTGCCATTTCCACTTATCTGGCACCATGCCAGTTTTGTAGTGATATGTTGAAAAGATTAGCCAAAGGTGTGCTAAGCTCCTCTTTACATTCCTTTAAACCCTTGCATACAGTTCATCAGGGCCTGGGGATTTGTTAGGTTTTAATTTATCTATTTGCCTAAGGACCATGTCACTTGTGACCCTAATAGTGCACAGTTTATTATCGTCCTGTTCTACATAATTTATCATTACTGGAATATCGCTGGTATCCTCCTGTGTAAAAACTGAGAGGAAGTATGTGTTAAAAATTCTACACATTTCCTTATCACTGTCAGTGAGCTGACCCAGGAACTTTTGAGTGGGCCTATCTTGTCCCTGATCTTACTTCTGTATACCTGAAAGAATCCTTTTGGGTTAGTCTTCGATTCTCTTGCAACTTTAACCTCATAATCTCTATTTGCTTTTCTAATTCCCTTTTTTATTTCTCTCTTTAACTGAATATATCGATTTCTTAATTGCCCCTCTCCTCTTTTGATTTGCCTATATATGCCTCTCTTTTTGACCAATCAGATATTTTAATCTATTGTTCATCCATTTAGGATCATTTTTGTTTGATCTGATTTCCCTATTTGGAACATAATTGACTGAGCAGCTAGAACTATGCCCTGGAAAGCATCATATCGGCAACCATCACCACCTACCTGACCCCTAGTCAGGTCATTCCGTTCAGCCCCCCTAAGTAATTTTTTTCAGTCCTATGAAATCAGCCAAGCGAAAGTCAGGGACGGAGACTTGATTGCCATTATTAGGGGAATCCATGCTATGTTAAAACTGAGTGATTTTGTGATCACTCTCCCCAAGCTCATCATTAACCTCAAGATATTAATTAGTGTTTCCCTACTGGCAAGAACCAAGTCAAGGAGGTTATTTCCCCTAGTTGGCTCTGTCACAAACTGTTTTAAAAAACAATCCTGATCGATCAAGAAAGTCACCCGACTCTAAATTTCCTGTCAAATTGCTCCAGTCAATCTGTCTATAGTTGAAATCTCCCATTAGCACAACATTTTCGTATGTAGATGCCTTACGAATTTCGTCCATAGAAGTTTACTGCACTCCCTATCAAGATTTGGGGCCCTGTAAATCACACCCAAAATTAGTTTTTCTCGGCCCTCGAGAAGCTGTAACCAAACAGATTCAGTGGCTGACGCTTCTAATTTAATATCTTGTCTAACACAACAATTTAAATTGTCTCTGACATACATCGCTACTCCACCACCTTTCCTGTTGACCCTGTCAGTGTGGAATAATTTATAGCCTTGTATGTGACATTCAGAGGGCATCTCTCTATCTTTCAGATTGAGCCAGGTCTCTGTTATAGCAATAATATCTATGTTTCCTGCACTTGCAATTAATCTTAGCTCATCTATCTTATTTCTAACACTCCTGCTATTAGTATAGTAAACCTTAAGGGAGCTAGTCCCTTGCTGCCCTCTGCTGTCCCCCTTTGTTTGCTGACCTGTTCTTTGTCTTTATTTATAACTTCATGCTGAATGCCTTTTATACATTTACTGTTTCCAACCCTAGTGCTAGACTATAATAAAATCTCAGGTTATAAATAATAATTTCATTAATAACAATAGCATTAATAATAATAATATTGATAATAACAATAATAAAATTAATAATAAAATTGGTAATAATAAAATTATTAGTAATAATGACAATAATAATAATAATAATAATAATAATAATAATAATAATAATAATAATAATAATAATAAAAATAATAATTATTATTATTATTATTATCATTATTATTATTTCTATTATTATTTTTATTATTATTTCTATTATTATTCATTAGGAAGCCCGAAACTCTTAGTGAACATGCAGAGCCTTGATAATAGCGGGTAATCAGGCTTGATTCAAGGAAGATTGTAATAGATTCAATTCCTTGGATCAAGGGCCCTTTATCAGTATGACGGCGCTACTGTAGGTGAACTAATAGAGTTCATGGTGAACAGGCGGTAAGAAAACTCTTGTTCAGTTACTGTTGCATATTTTACGTTTTCTCTGATGGGCAACATTTCATGTTGTATGAATACAGGGGAAATCAGGTTTGATTCTTGGTAGAGGAAGGAGCCTCTGATTTCATGGATCAAGAGCCCTTCAGCTGTATCAAGGCACCTTCCTTGATGAGATGCAGTGTTTAAAGTCGTTCTTTATTAGACTGTATGTTGGTCATTAAAGTTAGGAGGAGTGGTTGATGGAAGGAGTGGTTGATGGGAGGAGTGGTTGATGGAAGGAGTGGTTGATGGAAGGAGTGGTTGATGGAAGGAGTGGTTGATGGAAGAAGTGGTTGATGGAAGGAGTGGTTGATGGAAGGAGTGGTTGATGGAAGGAGTGGTTGATGGAAGGAGTGGTTGATGGAAGGAGTGGTTTGATGGAAGGAGTGGTTGATGGAAGGAGTGGTTGATGGAAAGAGTGGTTGATGGAAGGAGTGGTTGATGGAAGGAGTGGTTGATGGGAGGAGTGGTTGATGGGAGGAGTGGTTGATGGGAGGAGTGGTTGATGAAAGGAGTGGTTGATGGGAGGAGTGGTTGATGGAAGGAATGGTTGATGGAAGGAGTGGTTGATGGAAGGAGTGGTTGATGGGAGGAGTGGTTGATGGGAGGAGTGGTTGATGGAAGGAGTGGTTGATGGAAGGAGTGGTTGATGAAAGGAGTGGTTGATGGGAGGAGTGGTTGATGGAAGGAATGGTTGATGGAAGGAGTGGTTGATGGAAGGAGTGGTTGATGGGAGGAGTGGTTGATGGGAGGAGTGGTTGATGGAAAGAGTGGTTGATGGGAGGAGTGGTTGATGGAAGGAGTGGTTTGATGGAAGGAGTGGTTGATGGGAGGAGTGGTTGATGGAAGGAGTGGTTGATGGAAGGAGTGGTTGATGGAAGGAGTGGTTGATGGGAGGAGTGGTTGATGGGAGGAGTGGTTGATGGAAAGAGTGGTTGATGGAAAGAGTGGTTGATGGAAGGAGTGGTTGATGGAAGGAGTGGTTGATGGAAGAGTGGTTGATGGGCCTTTAATTAAATACTGGAGTCAGATGAGATGATAATTTTGCAGAGGCATGCATGCACTAGTGTGTCCAGCAGATGCATGGGTAGCAAGGGTTGGACCCGGATAGAAATCAAGCCACACTGATTGATTTTATTGGGGTAACATAACTTAAATCTACGTAATGTGCTGTGTGTGTGTGTGTGTACTCAAATTGCCTGTATTATTATAGTCAATTTAAGCGCTAAATCTAAGACTCCATGTACTCTAAACACTTTTGTGCTTTCAGCACTAGTGTCAAAGTTTAAATTTAAGTATGTGAAATCTAAAATCTTATTTGGTATCTAGATTACTTTCTAAACAGCCTAGAGATGTTGTTGCTAGTATTCTTATATTATTGGAACAAAAAAGGGACAGTATAGTGACTGGAACAATACACAAATACCCTGCACATAGGAGAGAGAAGCTTATGACGACGTTTTGGTCCGACTTGTACCATTTACAAGTCACACCAACAGACGAAGGTGGGGAAGCCACCTCTAGTTCCTCCACCTTCGTGGGTTAGTGTAACTTTTAAATGATCACAAGTCCGTTTGAAACGTTGTTATAAGCTTCTCCTATGTGCGGATTATTTGTGAGTGATATTAGTGGCTTAGAAAGCTTAAAAGAAGATGAATTAGACACATGTACAACACTTGGGTATATTTATCATCGTGACGTGTCCCCAGCCACTGGCTGTATCAGTGCAAGGCAGAGAAGAAACAGTGCAAAGACGAAGCAATTTGAGGTAGTCAATTCCTCACCCTAGACAAGAAGTGTACAGTTCCTCAGTCATGATAACACCGTCAGGAGTCTGTTGGTTATGTGAGAAGTTGGTCAACGAGACCCTTACTATACATTCTGAGGGAACTACCACTGCTGGCTGATTACCAGAATATGGCCTGTTTTTTGAAAGGAAAAAAAATCACAAGCTGCTGCTTGCCTTTGCAAGCAGCAGCTTGCAAGAGTACTGCAAGAGTAAGATCGATATGTAGTAATGCTAGCAATACTCAAGAGAAGACGCATAGTTCAAAATAAGTAAGTTTTATCCATATATAAACCCTAATTTTTAAAGGGGTGGACCGGTAAGTCAGCGGAAGGCCTTAGATGACCAAAAGCTCCAGCTAAAGGTCATCATATGACTAAGACCCACGTCAGGAAACACTTGTCCCGTTTCCTGACAAATCTTACCTAACCTAGCAAAACAAATTCTTACTAATACAATGTTTCGCTCTGTTTAAGTCTTTATTAATTCATATGTCAAATGATGTGAATTCATAGAGGACTAGTACCGAACTTGCACACGAAAATCACTCACTACGAAAGCAAAAGACTTGGCAGACGATGCACCATCCCCCCAATGAAAAGCAGGGGTGTCACTAGCACGTTAAGAGACCATACAATAAGTGTCAGGGGCCCGAGACTGTTCAACTGCCTCCCAGCACACATAAGGGGGATTACCAACAGACCCCTGGCAGTCTTCAAGCTGGCACTGGACAAGCACCTAAAGTCAGTTCCGGATCAGCCGGGCTGTGGCTCGTACGTTGGTTTGCGTGCAGCCAGCAGCAACAGCCTGGTTGATCAGGCTCTGATCCACCAGGAGGCCTGGTCACAGACCGGGCCGCGGGGGCGTTGACCCCAGGTAAACTCCAGGTATACAGAGCGAAAGGTTGTCTCAATAAAAGTCTGTTCCGCAACATGTATCTTCCTTCAATTCTTGCAGGAGTGCTTGGATCCACTGTAGTAATGAACCAGTACGTGACAGGTAATGAAGACGAGAACCAACCCGCCCCAAGATTGATCCCGGAGCTGAAGGATATGAGCTGCAAGGAGAGTCAAGTTGAATCTCATATTATTGGAAAGGAGAAGAATTAGAGAATATATATTCAAGACTTACAAAATTATCAACATTACGGTTACAGATAAGCAACTGACTCCATGTCTTAGGCAATTATCACTGTTCTTTCTTCCATCTTGAATCAGCGAAGGAAACATGTTTGGATGGAAGGAGTGCCGATAGGGTCTTAAACACGAGGCCTCCTTCTGGTTCTTGATGGAGCAAACAGACGGAGTGAACAGATTGTGTAAACAGATGGAGTGAACAGACTGAGCAGACTGAGGGAACAAATAGACAGCGCTAACGCATCTGGACATCAACTAGCTACAGCTCCTCAAAATACCACACAATCACCTCGTTCCGTCCATCTTATGAACACAAGTATTAACAAGTTTACTCAGAGCATGAATAATAAACTAATTTTCCTGTCAGCAAACAGCTGAAATTCTCGTCACGAACAGAAACGGACAGATGCAAATAAGCTTCAAATTAATATTCATATACCTGGAAGCACTTGATACATATCAAATATTATGCAGATTTGTTGAAAGTTAAATTTGTTTCTGCCAGTAATGGGCAGGGAAAACTACCAGTGAGGTACGCGACGTAAACCCGTAATTACCTGTCAGCTTTGTGATTAGTTTACGCCAAAGTAAACAGTCATGAAAGTGTAATAGCTATACAGGTATAGCTACGAGCCATTGTCATAGCTTAGTGGTGAGAGTTGTGGCTCTCATCACTGAGGTCCGGAGATCAATAATAAGAAAAATACAAGCTTGACTTCTGCATGTTGTCGGTCTCTCTGTGAAAAACTGTGTTAAAGAAAGCAGGCAATTAGGAAGTTATGTGATTCACTGTGATGACAGTGAGGCTTATGCTACTCCCTCTTACTGTGTATATAAGTATACCTAGTTGGATAACTCCCTTTAGGAGCCAGCTGGTTCAGTGGCTAACACTGGCCTGTGAGTTTAGTCGACAGACTCTAAACATAATTAATCAACGATAATTTCAATCCAAATATTAATTTCAGTGCTTTACAATTAACAACATACCTGTATTCAGCAGTGAATACTGATATTTTGTCTGCTGAGCGCCTCTTGTCTCGCATTCAGCAGAAAGAGGATCAAGCCTCCTCCACGTCTTGCAATGAATGGCCCAAATGGGTTTAGCGCTTTAATACTATCGACGGGCTTTTATTTCAAGGAACTGGAGATAATTTTTCTTTTCTGGTACGTTTAGCTCTCTTCTATGAATGTTATGTGTGGCAGGTGTAAACAATACTTGTGGAAGTCATGCAAAACGACGATTGTTATCCACTTGCAATACTTTTGTAAAGAAGCAGGAATCATAATACTTTATTTTGATGTTATTACACTTAAAGAGAAATAAAGGTGATAATACAGTAGCTATAACAAATCTTAAGTAGCCCCAAATCAGTTGTGAATTGCGATACTTTGTATGTTGTCAGGACAGCTCAGTGGTGAGAGTCGCGGCTCTCTTCATCCAGACCGGGGGATCAGTTCTTAGGCCGGGAAAGAATAATAATGTTATTTATACTTTATGTGAAGCTTTAAACCAGCGTGAGTCATTTAGCACAAAGGCTCGATTCTCCGTTCGCTAAGAGCGAGACAGACACGCTACCTATATAGTATAATACCCAGTTCTACTGTTTTATTCTGAAGCCAGTTGAAGAAACACCACTTACCATTAGCTTCTCGCCTGATCCTGTAGTGCTGATGTTCTGGCCACAGAGCGGATATGGCAAAGACTGCAAACGCAGGCAGGGCCAGGTAAGCGAATGTGTCAGTGGCCACGGTAGCCAGACGGGGCATGATGGACCGTGCCTGCGACCATAGTGAGCGAGGCTGTGCCCACCAGCTACTGCGGTACCGTGGCCCCCTGAATGCTACCTGCCTGTACGAGGTGTGAGCTTGTGCATCAGCGGGAGTGGCTGGGAGAGAGACGATGACCAGCAAGCAGCAGCATAACGCAAGCACCATAGAGGTCACACTAACCTGCAAGAGTAATGGAGATGTTACCCACCTGCGTCACTACGACGACGACGTGTATTGACGGTGAGCATGTCGGGGAAGAGGAGGGAGAAGCCTGTAATGCCAAGGGCAGACAACGCGTATACTAAATAGTTCTCGTCCTTTCGAGGCGGCTGGTACTCTGAAGAAAAAGAGTCTTCATGGACTGCAGCGCTAGCAAGGGTAGCAGCACCTTGCAGAACCAGGAACAGCAGCAGGAAGGAGCGTTGCGTGTTGCCAGCAGCCATGACGATAGTGGACTGACTCTCTGCCGACGCCACCATCTGCTTTTCTTTCTCCAGCCCTCAAACATGACACACAATACAGAAGCATACACACACACACACACACACACACACGCACACATACACCCACACACATACACATACATACACACATACACATATACATACATACATACATACATACATACATACATACATACATACATACATACATACATACATACATAAATACACACACACAAAACACTGGAACCTACTCACACAACAGTGGATCACAGGAGCCCACAAACCTACATAAGAAAGCATACAAGAACTGCCATGTAATAGTTTAGAAAACTGAGATGAAGAATGAGACACTTGTGAAACATATTGGGAATCCTTATCGAGGTAAAGTTTCGCCAGCCAGTGGTTTCTTCAGTCCAATACAGAGAAGAAGGGTGAAAGAAGAGGAGGTGAACGAGGTAATCAGTCCCTCATTTTAAAAATTATTACTACCTCGTTCTTACTACATGTGTCTTGCCCATGGAAAATCTCCTCATTAAAATATTCGTCATCTTTAATGAATGTAAACTTCAGTATTGTTCAGGTAAACCAATACTTCGTTCAGTTTCATACTAAAACAAATGCATGTAAATGAACCCTTCTGCAAGCCGCTCTGGCAAGTCACTCTTCACGCTGGCACTCTGAACATGCCCCAGGGTGTCACTTCTTCCGGTGGATTCTTTACCACGGCTTCTAGACACGTACGAGGAAGCAACACCTTTAACTTCTTCACCCCAACCCTCGTGAAGCACCTCTAATGTCAACACTGTAAACTGTACAGGTTTTTAGGAGCTTCATCAGTCGATGTATTTTTATAGCGTTAAACACACACACAACACACACACACACACACAGGGTGAAGAATGACAGGTGGAGGATGGGAGAAATCAGATTTTGGAAGGGGAAACCTAGAGAGAGGAGAGAATTCCTGAATGCAGTGGTCTGGGAAGGTGGACTGGAAGGAAAATCAAAGAATGAGATACACAAATAACACGCACATAGGAGAAAGAAACCTCTGATGGCGTTTCGTTCCGACTTGGACCGAAACGTTGTCTTTAAAGAATGAGTTGAAGGAACACCTAATTACAAACCAGAGAACTTCATGCCCAAAAGATGAGGAGATGAAAAGAATAAAGAACCCGCGGTTAAACCAAAGATACAGGGAGGAAAAAAGCGCAAATACATGTAAAAATTATAGAAAGTAGTGGACAGAAGAAAACAAAGAAGTGAGCAAAAGAACCAGAAACGAATGTGCAGGGGCGAGACGAGAGAGTGAATGATGATAATCTGAGAATGACGAAGTAGCAAAGTCTAAGTCGAAACTAATTTATAGTCACATGAGAGGAAAAAACGATTGTATAAGAGTAGGTAATAAGACCGAAGAAGGATAGGGAAGAGTACACGAGAAACGACAAGAAAGTCTGTGAGGAGTTGAACGGAGGATTGAAGGAGGTGAACGGAGGATTGAAGGAGGTGAACGGAGGATTGAAGGAGGTGAACGGAGGATTGAAGGAGGTGAACGGAGGATTGAAGGAGGTGAACGGAGGATTGAAGGAGGTGAACGGAGGATTGAAGGAGGTGTCCTCCCTAGAAACAAGGCAACCTCGCAACCTCAGAGAGTCAAAGAGAAAGGGTGTACCACAGTGTGTCAGTCACGATACACGCAACAGTAATTAGAGGTGAAAAAAAAATAGCTTTTGACTGGGCTGGATACATCAAAGTCAATGGGACCCGAAAAAAGTGTTACCATTGATTATGCGAGAGTAGAAACACTGTGAACTAAACTGTACAAGTGAATGGATAAGGAACGGTTAGTAGACCTATGGAAGACAACGAATGTAGCCCCAAATTTTAAGATAGGAAACAGACAGGAAGCGTTAATCTGCGGACCAGCGTCACTGATATGCATTTTATGTAAGGTAATGGAAAAGACAATCCAGACGAGAGTGGTGGAGAACTTCGAGATAAAAGTGATTTCTTAAGGGGACGTACTTAGAATACGGGAAAAAATATTCCAATGGATAACAGAGTACCGAATGGGCAAGTAACAGAGAGTAGTAACTAAGAATCTTTCGTTGCAAGGTGCATGCATAGTGTTACCATGCAACGAAACATTATCAGATTTAAAAAATACTCCAGTCAAACGGCGAATATAAATTTAATATACATTAGCGTGGCTGGTAACTCAATTTGTAGTGTCTTCAGTCAGCTTTTGAAGCAATGGTATGGTGATATCGACAAGATGTGGAAAAAAGACACTTATGTACAGTTCAGGACATTTATTAAAGGAAACGTTTCGCCCCGAGTAGCTTCTTCAGTTCTAATACAGGGAAAACTATGAAAACGAGTAATATATAGATTGTAGATGAATGGTATATACAGTGTCAGGTGGAGTGTCGCGTATATGGACGTAGTAGTGGTAGTAGTAGTAGTAGTGGATCTAATGTTATGAGACGGGTTGGGTTAGAGAACGAACTGTTGATATAATGTTACAGCAGTCTCCAGAATAGGTAATATTCTGTTGATTAGCAATTTAGAGATACTGTAAATGCCGGACTTTTGATGGATAGTGTTACTGACAGCAATTAGGGCAGCTTCTAAGCACTTTCGCCGTCATAAATCGTCTTCTTTAAACGCAAGTTTAGCCACAGTCATCATTTCTGCAAGCATTTTTGTGTTCTGTGATCCTAATGTCCAGAGATCTGGCTATTTCCCCAACATATACTTTGTCACATCCCCCACATGGTACCAGCTCATCAACTGCTATTAGGAACCGGGTACAAAAACTCAAGCATGATTCTGGCACAAGTTCAGGAATATACACAATACCATGTGGGGGGTGTGACAAAGTATATATGGGGGAAACAGCCAGATCTCTGAACATTAGGATCATAGAACACAAAAATGCTTGCAGAAATGATGACCGTAAAAACGCGTGTGTTCAACATAAGGACGATGTTGGACACCTCATAAAATTCAGTTAGGCTAAACTAGTGTTTAAAGAAGACGATTTAAGACGGCGAAAGTGCATAGAAGCTGCCCAAACTGCTGTCAGTAACACTATCCATTAAAAGTCCGGTATTTAGAGTATCTCTAAATTGCTAATCAACAGAATATTACCTATTCTGGAGACTGCTGTAACATTATATCAACAGGTCCTTCTCTAACCCAACCCGTCTCACAACATTAGATCCACCACTACTACTACTACCACCACTACTACCTCCACCCACGCGACACTCCACCTGCCACCTGACACTATATATACTCATTTTCTTAGTTTTCTCTGTATTAGGACTAAAGGAACCACTCGTGGCAAAACATTTCCTTTAACAAATGTCCTGAACTGTACATAAGTGCTTTTTTCCATACAACATTTGAAGCACCTGGATTTGATCCGAGCACCAACTGAAACGTCAAGAATATATCTCTGCACAGTTGCTTCTGTTCACTTAGCAGTAAGTGGGTACCTGGATATCAGCCAACTCTTGTGGGTCGCATCCTGGAAAAGACGATTAAGGACCCCACTGGAAATCTGACAGACCGAGGGGCTTTTCGGGTTATGCAGGGTTACTAACCTTTTCAGTTAAAGACCCGATCTAACCCATCTTCAACTGTATCAACACTAGCACTAGTTATAACTAGTTAAAACTAAACATGGCAAACCAGGTGAAAGATGTGCAAACAAGGCATCATGTGGCTATATATATAACCATAGGATATAGACAAGAGGAAACTGGATGAGGAGAGATGGCAGCCACTACATCTTACCATGTCTGGATACAGAAGATGAGGGCGGTGGTGATGACACAAGAGGCAGCGTCAAGGTGAGCAAGAAACAACACACTGAGCAGGTCTGTTGCCCTTGCTGTCTTTATAACATGTGAGCCTCAACTCGTGATGGTGGAGCCGCAGTGACGAACTGCGAAAATATTACCTACCGCCCCGAGGTCCAAACTCTGGGTCAGGAAACGTCACGCTCTGTTTTGAACCACTTCCGCTCTTCTTCCTCCCTTCAGCGTTATTTCTCAAACTGCATTGTAGGCAGGAGAGAACTTGTTATTCAGTAAGTGATGGTAAAAGGTTAAGAACGTTTAGATTATGGGGCAGAATCGATTCTGAGTTAGTCGATTACATTCCGAATTCCATCTGATCGTAAGGTGATAAGACAACACTCTGGCCACTTACAGGCATGAACTGAGATGACGTCACAGCGATTTATGGATCTTATCCAATGACAGAACTCCAGTGAATGACATCACGGTGTAGACTACATGAACCCACAAGTGGGACATTATCTTAACGTTTTAGAGGTGCGTGTGGACTCAGAAACACTGAAGCCTCTGGCGTTTCTCTATCCGTTGCAAATTATCCAGCTTTGCTTTAATGCTTACCTTTGAGTGTGTTACAGCTATCACCAGCTAAAAACGTGAAAAATGCCGTTTGCAACCCAAATCTAATCTCCAGTGCAACAAGTAGGGGATTATCCAGAGACCAGGTTACTAGGTGGCTTGACAAACCATATGTCGCAGCAGTGAGCCAGCACACACAAACACCAACTATTACCGGCCCTACTTGCCTCTAATGCCACGTTATTGACCCACATTTCGCCACATCCGTCCGTAAACACAGGGAATTTTGGGTTACTCTCCATGCGACAGTACTGATGACAGTAGATCAGGTAAAAAAAAATCCCAGAAAATCCCTGATGAAATGTTTGACCCTTGTATAGAAGTAGGTGTACCCAAGACAAGTAGTCGTTCATCAACTGAAGGATCATTACACGTTACATACATGATCTTGCTTCCATTGATGTAACAATAAGGGTGATGAAACTGAAGGCAGATGATGCAGTCTGCTATTTTGAGAAAGAAATATATGACAGTTTAATACAAACATAAGATATATGCAAAGAAAGATATGCATCTCCCAGAGATAATATAATATAATATATAATATATATATATATATATATATATATATATATATATATATATATATATATATACATATATATATATATATATATATATATATATATATATATATATATATATATATATATATATATATATATATATATATATATATATATATGCAAGGAATTCGAGAGAGCATGCGAAATATACACAAACACTGATCTCTAGGTTCGAGTCTCCTTCAGCCAGAGATCAGTGTTTATATATATATAATATATATATATATATATATATATATACATATATATATATATATATATATATATATATATATATATATATATATATATATTATATATATATATATATATATATATATATATATGCAATAAGATCACAGTAAACAGGTGATTTCAGAATATGCAAAACAACCACTCTGAAAGAATAGAGAAATTCCAAGCGCTTTCGAGACTACAGATAGTTCCTTGACAATGTGAGTAGTCACGAAAACGCTTGAAATTTCTCTATTCTTTCAGAGTGGTTGTTTTGCATATATATATATATATATATATATATATATATATATATATATATATATATATATATATATATATATATATATATATATATATATATATATATATATATATTTTATTATCACACTGGCCGATTCCCACCAAGGCAGGGTGGCCCGAAAAAGAAAAACTTTCACCATCATTCACTCCATCACTGTCTTGCCAGAAGGGTGCTTTACACTACAGTTTAAACTGCAACATTAACACCCCTCCTTCAGATTTTTTCATTTATGTTAATGTAAAAATTAATAATTTTGTACCAAAAGAACCTTAGAAAACTTACCTAACCTTATTATAACAAGCGCAATTTAATTGAGCCTAATCCAACTAAATATACTTTAAATAAGTTTACGATAATTTAATAATAAACAAACACAATGGAATATCTTTTTTGCGAAATTATTGCATACACAAACTTTTGTTTGCCTTATTCGGCTATTTAAGCCAACATCGCAAATTTTACCTATTCGGCACAACATTTATAAATAAGCAAAGGTGTGCAGTGTATAGGCTGACTAATTTAATAAGTTGGGGAAAAAGATACAAGCGCAACTAATGTGATATTTTACTTTAGTAATGTTTCGGTCTCCTGGAGCTTTGTAAAGCCGTATTAGTTGTACTTGTGTCCTTTTACCTAATATATTGCCAATAATTTTTGCCAATATTATATTTTAATACATTCGAGCAAACTATAGCACTAGCAACGCCTCCGTCAAGCTAATAAGGGCCCAGTTGTTTGAAGAATTAAAGGCATAGACACTCCATTACTGCCTCTACATGGTCTTGAAATGGACAGTGATGGTCTCTTGATGATTTTAAAGACTAAAAAGGAGGATACCCACAGGTATATACAGCAAAAGAAGCCTTTAAAAAGTTTCGCTCGTATCCGGCAGTGGAACTGAACTCTTATTCACAGGATAAACCAAGGAACTCGGACTCATGAGCTGATAACGCTCACCTGTGAACGAAACGAGAACTGAAGTAGTTTCAAATACCATAAGGTGGAGTAAGCGACAATAATATACACTGAATACCTTTCTTAGCGACAACGCTTCGATCACGCAGTCACTGACTGGTGTAATAAAGCCGCTGCGTGTGTGAAACGTTGTCGCTAATAAAAGTATCCACTGCATTTACGCGTGAGCGAAATGTCCAAACAGGTGACTTTATTCTGCCAAGTCTCCTGCTGCCAGTCTTTCTTGTGGGAGTACAGGGTTTTCAGAGCTCTGCCTTCAACTGGGTACTGGGGTGCCTCGAAGTCTCCTCTTCCCAGGACCTAACCTGATCACCTCCCTCTCCCCATCACCCTCAGGGGCTTACCTCTTCTTCAAGAATAAAATAATACAAATTTTACTGCCCCGTAGGCTAAATTATCTGAATCTGTAAATTAATTTATATTTAGTTTTGTGTTTTTCTTGTCCGGAGATCCCAATATTGTCTTTGTGGAGGTTATCATTTTTGTTTGTCATGTATCATCGTATTACTGCAGTGTGTGACTGCCCTATTTTTATCATATTTTCGTTGTGTGAGAACCCTCAATGTGTGGTTACCCAGTCTTATTTAATAATTACTTTGTGGAGGGAACTGCAGTGTGTGGCTACACTATCTTATATGATAGTTACGTTGTTGAAAAACTCACAGTGTGTGGAAAACCCCATTCTATATAACAGTAATAATGTGGAACACAAGCTAGCTATGTTTCTCTGTCATATTCCTTCATACGTAATGAAATCTGTCTGGCTGAGCTGGTGAACTTCAGTCAGGAAATGAGGAAATTGTCAAGCATTTCACGGTGGGTTTAGTAGTTTTAAAGGTTCCGTTCCAGCAGGGCTGGAGTTACTGTTTCGTGGATATTACCATTTCTCTCAGGTAGTCCAAACCCACAAAGAGCTAAGGAGCTGATGAGGTTTCCCTTAAAAATATCGACCACAACTATAACCACTACCAGTTACTGGATAGAAGATATATCTAGCACCACCAGGGGTGGTTGCTAGACACGGGCCATCACTAGCGTCACCAGCAGAAGTCACTGCAGACAAACTTCTTCTAGCGCTATCAGCAGCAGTCGCTAGGCGCGACCCACATTAACCAGCAGCAGCAGCATTAAGACACGGCCCATATCAAGCAGGAGCAGTAAGACACGCCCATATCAAGCAGCAGCAATAAGACACGGCCCATATCAAGCAGCAGCAATGAGACACGGCCCATATCAAGCAGGAATAAGACACGGCCCATATCAAGCAGCAGCATTAAGACACGGCCCATATCAAGCAGCAGCAATGAGACACGGCCCATATCAAGCAGGAATAAGACACGGCCCATATCAAGCAGGAATAAGACACGGCCCATATCAAGCAGCAGCATTAAGACACGGCCCATATCAAGTAGCAGCAATAAGACACGGCCCATGTCAAGCAGCAGCAATTAGACACGGCCCATATCAAGCAGGAATAAGACACGGCCCATATCAAGCAGTAGCAATGAGACATGGCCCATATCAAGCAGGAACAGTAAGACACGGCCCATATCAAGCAGCAGCAATGAGACACGGCCCATATCAAGCAGGAATAAGACACGGCTCATATCAAGCAGCAGCATTAAGACACGGCCCATATCAAGTAGCAGCAATAAGACACGGCCCATGTCAAGCAGCAGCAATTAGACACGGCCCATATCAAGCAGGAATAAGACACGGCCCATATCAAGCAGTAGCAATGAGACATGGCCCATATCAAGCAGGAACAGTAAGACACGGCCCATATCAAGCAGCAGCAGTAAGACACGGCCCATATCAAGCAGGAACAGTAAGACACGGCCCATATCAAACAGGAGCAGTAAGACACGGCCCATATCAAACAGGAGCAGTAAGACACGGCCCATATCAAGCAGGAGCAGTAAGACACGGCCCATATCAAGCAGGAACAGTAAGACACGGCCCATATCAAACAGGAGCAGTAAGACACGGCCCATATCAAGCACCAGCAGCAGCATTAGCAAGACACTAGTACCAAGACTCGCCAACCTCTACCCCTCTCCTTCCTTCACCTCCCCGTCCCTCGTATAATTTCCTCCCCACCACCGTCATTCCTCAGCCTGAGTTAACCAAAAACGCCACTAAACCACAAGACAGTAACGAGTTGTTAACTTGTAACTGTGTCTCCTGATCAACTGGGTTGTTTGGACTGGCTTAAAGCCTATCGGTTGCACGAGGGTCATTGAGGCTGCACCTCTACACCACCAACGGAAAATGCTCTGGTCCCTAAAACAAAGATAAAAATAAAACTAATAGTGTATATACACCTCTTGGTATACCGCATATACCAAAGTGTATATGCATCCTGAGGTGTATATACATAAATGTCAGTCATACGTTGTGTATATACTGAGGTCACAGTCCCCGCTTTCGGAAGCCACTTCGAGGGAGGATTCCCTAGAAGCTGGTCTCTCGGTTTTTAAATCATTTCATCCCTTCAAGATAGGGAAGGGATGGGTGAACTGATGCTGCTGAACGGCTCGTGATCCACGGAATGGGATTTACTCTCCTCCTCTTCCTTGAATCATTCGCGATTAACACCCATTTCCCAGGTGCTGTGTGAGTCCTCACGGGCTTCGTCACAGCATTTTCCTGTTACTGGACAACTGGGGTCAGGGTTATTGACCAGAAAATCTCCAATAGTCTTTCACTCCTTGTTCTGTTGTCTTATGGTTGCGTTTGTATTATCAGAGTGAAATCGCACTTTTCTGCAGAGGTTTAGCGATTCCATAATAATAATAATAATAATAATAATAATAATAATAATAATAATAATAATAATAATAATAATAATAATAATAATATCAATAATCATATCAATAATCATGAAACCATAACCATGACCATTATTTCCATCACTACTCTCTCTCTCTCTCTCTCCTCTCTCTCTCTCTCTCTCTATATATATATATATATATATATATATATATATATATATATATATATATATATATATATATATATATATTATATATATATATATATATATATATATATGTTATATTTATTTATTTTTTATTATCACACTGGCCGATTCCCACCAAGGCAGGGTGGCCCAAAAAAGAAAAACTTTCACCATCATTCACTCCATCACTGTCTTGCCAGAAGGGTGCTTTACACTACAGTTTTTAAACTGCAACATTAACACCCCTCCTTCAGAGTGCAGGCACTGTACTTCCCATCTCCAGGACTCAAGTCCGGCCTCCCGGTTTCCCTGAATCCCTTCATAAATGTTACTTTGCTCACACTCCAACAGCACGTCAAGTATTAAAAACCATTTGCCTCCATTCACTCCTATCAAACACGCTCACGCATGCCTGCTAGAAGTCCAAGCCCCTCGCACACAAAACCTCCTTTACCCCCTCCCTCCAACCTTTCCTAGGCCGACCCCTACCCCGCCTTCCTTCCACTACAGACTGATACACTCTTGAAGTCACTCTGTTTCGCTCCATTCTCTCTACATGTCCGAACCACCTCAACAACCCTTCCTCAGCCCTCTGGACAACAGTTTTGGTAATCCCGCACCTCCTCCTAACTTCCAAACTACGAATTCTCTGCATTATATTCACACCACACATTGCCCTCAGACATGACATCTCCACTGCCTCCAGCCTTCTCCTCGCTGCAACATTCATCACCCATGCTTCACACCCATATAAGAGCGTTGGTAAAACTATACTCTCATACATTCCCCTCTTTGCCTCCAAGGACAAAGTTCTTTGTCTCCACAGACTCCTAAGTGCACCACTCACCCTTTTCCCCTCATCAATTCTATGATTCACCTCATCTTTCATAGACCCATCCGCTGACACGTCCACTCCCAAATATCTGAACACATTCACCTCCTCCATACTCTCTCCCTCCAATCTGATATCCAATCTTTCATCACCTAATCTTTTTGTTATCCTCATAACCTTACTCTTTCCTGTATTCACTTTTAATTTTCTTCTTTTGCACACCCTACCAAATTCATCCACCAATCTCTGCAACTTCTCTTCAGAATCTCCCAAGAGCACAGTGTCATCAGCAAAGAGCAACTGTTATAGTGTTAACATAATTATTAATCAAGTTAAACAAATTCATTCATAAATATATTTATTATGAATTACGAGAACACTGGTTGGATGAAAATATATATTTAAGGAATGCCAAGCGTGCACTTAGGGCCGTTCATACAGGTATTCATGCAGGTATAAATATTAAAGAAGAAATTAACACAGACAGGAAAAACAATCATGACAGGAGAGATGAGGTTGTGTTGTGGTCATACACATTTGGAGGAAACATTCCGATTTTCTTCAAATTTACTGATTACTCGGACGAAGAAAGTTTATCAGTGCTTTGCGCAATAATAGATTTTGTACACACGTACACGTACACGTACACGTACACACACACACACACACACACACACACACACACACACACACACACACACACACACACACACACACACACACACACACACACACAAACACACACACAAGCAACTACTAACCCACTCTTACATCCGGAAAGTCAGCGGTAATAAATGGATATAAACAACAGAGTAATTTAGGAGTTTTTCTCCAGATTCTGTCTTCAATTTTGCCTTCAGTCACTGCATTTAACTTTGTTTATATATATTTAAATATATATATATATATATATATATATATATATATATATATATATATATATATATATATATATATATATATATATATATATATATATATATATATATTTGGAGATGGGAAGTACAGTGCCTGCACTCTGAAGGAGGGGTGTTAATGTTGCAGTTTAAAAACTGTAGTGTAACGCACCCTTCTGGCAAGACAGTGATGGAGTGAATGATGGTGAAAGTTGTTCTTTTTCGGGCCACCCTGCCTTGATGAGAATCGGCCAGTGTGATAATAAAAAATAAAAAAATATTTGAGAAATTCACAAAGAAGGTGCGAGTAATCAGAGACTTACAAAAATTCTATGTATTTAAAGTTGTTATTTTTGTAATTAAAGCCTCAGGACAACACGGACATCGCTGAAAGAAGATTCACTTCTATACTAACAGCAATACTAATATTACTTCTTTCGATATATGAATCTTACCGATGCTTCTTTCTTTAAATTTGCAAACCTGTGTAATGATCATGAGTTGCTTTCTGATTTTCCTTAAAATTAATAACCTCTTAGGATCGGCCATGTCTATACAAATAAATAAATAAATAAATTAATATATATATATATATATATTATATATATATATATATATAATATATATATATATATATATATATATATATATATATATATATATATATATATATATATATATATATATTGGGGGTGGTAGGAGAAAATTCTCAAATAGCTTCAGGGAGAATAAACTTGCTTCAGGGAAAACTCAAGGTTCTCCCTGAAGCAAGTTTATTCTTTTCTCTGAGGATGAGGGTCCCTAGGACAGTTCTAGAGGTGGTACCTCCCTATATATATATATATATATATATATATATATATATATATATATATATATATATATATATATAATTCTTACCAATATACACAATAATAAATTAATGTTCTATAGGTCTACATATGACACTGAACACCACTGATAGCACTGAACACCATTGAACACCATTGAACACCACTGAACACCAATGAACACCTGACGACAATTGCTAGACAGCAGGAAGGAGTAAGCAAGTGCTAACAGCTGGTGTTCCTTTAAGGAACTAAGAAATTTCACGCCGAGTAATGCATTCAACGAGCAGTGAAAGCCTTTGGCCAGGACAAGCCTTTTATAAGAATACATTTCGCTCAAGGAGAGCTTCATCCAGTCATAATGCTCTCCCTGAGCGAAACGTTATATACTAAAGGCTTGTTCGGTTGTAAATGTATTTGGTATTGGGAAACCTTTGTCTTTGACTGATACAACTTTTCACCCGTATGGGTGAAACGTTGTACTAATAAAGGCACAGGGGAGAAAAATTAGATGGCGAAGAGAGAAAATAGCCTGAAAAACTATCAAGTTCTAGAGGAGTTAGAGCCAATCAAGAAGTTTAAAAAAAATCGGTATTTTATACCTTAATTCTGCAAGTTAGCGTCTTCGTATTATTCATATTTTTTTGGGTGCTGTGACTTTTACTTAGAAAAAGATAACTTATATAAGCACAATATGTCTATGTGACTGTTCGTCTGTCGAGCTCAAATGGTTCCTCAGACGATATTATTGGCTTGTCGAGCTCATCTGTCAGCCCAGATGAGATTGTTGGTCGGCTTGGCTGATCCGTCTTCTCTAACGAAGTGGATCAGAGGATCTTCGGGGGGACGCACTTAAATTTTTTACACATGCCGGTCTCGTAGCCAGACTCCGCAGCCTCTCTGAAGACGGCCACGTTGTTCTTCATGCAGTCAGGGACCAGAGGCTCGATCAAGCTGTAACGAAGACAGTGTAAAGCAATTATGTTGAAAATGGTATGAAATACCGACGAGTTGATGATTAAGACAAATGTGCAACAGTTAGGTGTCTACTGTTGAATTTTTTCCCCAAGGCTGATGGACTGATTACATCATCTTCATTTCATTACTAGTACTACACTGCTGCCTCTGTGTTTGACTGAATAAACCTACTGTTGCATGTGTCATAATCATCAAAGTAAAACAGTGTTTATCGAAGGTAGAACAATATATACCGAGGAACAGCTTAACAAGTCGCAATTTGCTGTTCATGGCATTTAATTGCTAAAGTCCTTGGTGGACGAATCGTCTCCTCAATAAAAATGCCACAAACTGTTTATTGGGTTTCATCAACAAGGTCAAGCAGTTGCTGGAACAGGGAGAAAAACTCCTTTAGTTGTTAGTCTTCTGGGAAGGTACGTTGATACAAGTGAAGGGCTCTTGACACAAGTATTTGTAGCTGTCATCTTCCCTTCCCCGGATTTAATCTTAATTGCTTCCCATTCAACGGGATTTGTGTGGCCCACTACGCGTTGGGCCTTTCTCCATAAAAATAAAAATTTAAATAAATTCACCACAGTATACACACTGTCAATATTTTACGAGGCAGGGTGGAACAACAGGGAAAATTAAAGTTTCTCCTTTTAAATTTATTAATGTATACAGGAGAAGGGGCTACTAGCCCCTTGCTCCCGGCATTTTAGTCGCCTCTGAGGATAGGCATTGCTTACGGGAGACGAATTTTGCTCCACTTCCCCATATAAACCTACGAATGGCATTACATATTACAGAATTAAGGGAATTACGTTGTGAGAAGACGCACTTCATTGTTTTCTAGTTATAAAACTAGACTCTAGATTTTACATATCTATGAGGAGCTAGTATGAATAACAGCGTGTTCAACTCAAAATATTTTCAATTATCCATAACTAGAGAGAGAGAGAGAGAGAGAGAGAGAGAGAGAGAGAGAGAGAGAGAGAGAGAGAGAGAGAGAGAGAGAGAGAGAGAGAGAGAGAGAGAGAGAGAGAGAGAGAGAGAGAGAGAGAGAGAGAGAGAGAGAGAGAGAGAGAGAGAGAGAAAGCTGCGTGGTCATGAGATAACGTAGAAATTACGGTCACAGGAGCACGAGCTCAGGAAGTCCATGTTCATTCTGAGCTACTAACCCAGAGCTGCTTCACCATCTGGGATTCAATGCAGTTCAAGATGAGGGGAAACGGGTGGCTTAATGCTGGTGAAAGGCTCTTCATCCAGGGAACTGGAGCTGCCCTCTCTTATTCCTCGGATCAAAACTGAATACCTCCCAGTCCCCCAATTTTAATAATAAGTGCTCATTATTCTTAGAAAGAAGGTAAACAGCATTCTTAATGGCCCCAAGTGTGGTCGACAAACTTCCAGTCTAACGTCCTGACTAACTGAAGGTCCAACGAGTAACGTTAAACAAGAGATATTAACCAGCTTTAGTATTCCCAGACAGTAAAACAAGTAACACTGAACAATTAACGATGCCACATGTTGTTTGAATACGGCAAATATGACAAACCCAGAGTGTAGCTCTTTTCTCTTTCTCATTGTAGCCCAATGCTTGAGTTTCAGTGAGGGAGGAAAGAAGGGAAGACTAGAGCCTCGGTGCCGGGAGCTTTAACTATGGAACTGGAGTTAAACTGTCCTTCATGGGGTTAAACTGTCCTTCCTGGGGTTAAACTGTCCTTCCTGGGGTTAAACTGTCCTTCCTGGGGTTAAACTCAATTGCCTTCCAAGCGCTACATGAATTCTGCGGATTTAGCGCTTCTCCTTAAATACTACTACTACTGCTACTATTATTGCTACTGCTACTACTGCTGTAGATGAATGGCTCAGAGAACCGACAAACTGATAAATTAGACACATGTACAACACTTGGGTATCTTTATTGAGGAAACGTTTCGCCACACAGTGGCTTCATCAGTCCATACAAAGGGGAACATTGAAGAACAGGAGGAGTTTGAGGTAATCAGTCCCTCAGCCTTGAGTCGATGTAATCAGTCCATCAATCTTGAAAAGAATACAGCATATGTGCGTAGAAGTAGCTTATATACCGTAGGCAGGAGAGGTGCAGCAGTCGTAGGTGGTATCACATTTGTCCACTGTGGAAGTAGGTCGTGCCCAAGGGTTAGGCAAGTGAAGAATTCCCTGTATTAAGATCCCAAGATGTTGCTGTGTCAGACAGGAATGTATTCATTTCAAGATTGATGGACTGACCAAATCGACTCAAGGCTGAGGGACTGATTACCTCAAACTCCTCCTGTTCTTCAATGTTCTCCTTTGTATGGACTGGTGAAACCACTGTGTGGCGAAACGTTTCCTCAATAAAGATACCCAAGTGTTTCACATGTGTTTAATTTATCAACTACTACTGCTACTATTACTGCTACTACTGCTACTACTACTACCAAGACCACCACTTGCTACTACTACTGCTGCTACTGCTGCTACTACTACTAGTATTACTATTACTACCACCTCTACTACTACCAAACTCCTACTACTACTACTAATAATATTATTATTATTATTATTATTATTAATAATAATAATAATAATAATAATAATAATAATAATAATAATAATAAAAATAATTATATTATTATTATTATTATTATTATTATTATTTGTATTATTATTATTAATTATTATTATTATTATTATTATTATTATTATTATTATTATTATTATTATTATTATTATTATTATTATTATTATTATTATTAACAACACGCGCGAGACCAGGACAAGCCTTGCAGGTTACCACTTCCATACTGAGTGGGTGACCAAGCCTTCCTGGGTAGTGGTGACTGAGCTCACATGACGAGGCTCGTGATGTGGGTATTTGGGGCACGATTAAGGTGACCCCCTGGTATATCTTCTCTTATTCCTAGTATATCTCTTTTTATTTCTTAAATAATAAATTAATATAACGACCCCAATGGAATTAAGTAACTTTGTCTGATTTTCTTGGGTTATTCTAATTAATCTACACAGATGCTCTGTACATGAATAAACTTACTGGAAGTAGGGCAGGATAATAAAGGTATGTTTTTTTGGCGAAACGCTTCGCCAGCTCAGCAGGCTTCGCCAGTCATAGAAAGAGGCGATTACGGTACTTGGGACAGTACCGTAATGAGATGAGTGAATATCAAAACGGTAAACAATACCGACAGGTTGGTAAGTAAGACACATAGGCAATAGTTAGGCATCTTTATTCCGGAACGTTTCGCCTACACAGTAGGCTTTTTCAATCGAAGAAGCCTACTGTGTAGGCGAAACGTTTCGGAATAAAGATGTCTAACTGTTGCCTATGTGTCTCCCTTACTGTAAGGTGGTCGGTCTCTTTATCCCCAAGATTGGTTGTAAATAAGAAGGCGATACAAAGAGTAAAAAGATTTGTGTACAGAGTGGTATTCCATTATGATAAATTTGCCTCATAATGATCCCCCCCAAAATTTAGTTGAGTTAAGAATGTAGATTGAGATCCGTGTTCACTCTGGGACCAGTAGAAGCTTTCTGAGTGATGAGTAAGCTGAAGACAGCAGTGAATAATGCGCTGAAGACAATGGTGAATAACGCACCGAAAACAATGGTGAGTAATTCACTAAAGACAATGGTGAGTAATGCGCTGAGTCATGCAATGAGGACAATAATCATACGTAACTTAATGGAAACGGTTAATAAGTATTTATAAGTAGTCATAATATTAGAAACTGTAACTGAATCACCGTTACTTATTAACTGAAAACTAATGCTCGTGCATTGATGAGTATATTTCAGGTGACATGAGTCATGAGAAATGAGAAAAAAATGTGAGGTAGTGTTGAGTCACTTCGAATTAGTGTTAAATTAAGAGTAAATCAACGTTGACTGGCTATTATTATTATTATTATTATTATTATTATTATTATTATTATTATTATTCCAGTCATGACTAAGCGTCACACCTGCTAGGTTAATACAGTGCCTGGAGTATAGGGGTTAATTAGGTTTGATCTGAGGAAATGGAGGAGGGTAGATCTAATACCTCGCATCAAGAGCTCTTCACCAGCGATGACAAAATATTTTAAGAGTTATGAGTCAACAGGATGTTTAAGTATCCTACCCGAGAAGGATGTCTCTGCCCTGGAGGTCCCTGGAGTAGACGCCTACGTCGCAGATTATCCTCTGGCTGCACTCTTGGCTGACAAAGGCGTCGACGTATTTGTTGAAGAGACGCTCGAGTTCGTCATGAAGCTCGGCTACGAAGTCGGGATGTCTGGGCCCATCGGAGAGCGCTCGCCTGCCGGTGAAGTAGACGGCGATGGAGGCGAGCGTCATTAAAGCGCTGCCGATGATCAGCAGCGGCATGACTATGAGGCCGTAGATCTCAGGGTCGTCAGTGGAAGCTGCGAGGATGGATTCAGGAATCACCTGTCGCTTCACTCTAAAAGCAGCGGCCGCCGCCGATGATGTGCTCACCAGGACTAACAAGAAGATCTTGGCCATCATCTGGGGAGACACAGCAAGAAATTAATCATTATACACTAACAGGCGATAAAATGTAGTAATGTATATATCGCATATCGAGTTACTGACAGCATTAAAGGATAGACACGATACAGCATAAGCTTTGTTTTGTGACAACGTCGCGATCTGTAAGAGCTTAATCGAGTCATGAGTTGGTACAGCTCTAACAGTGCGATAAGTTGTCACGTTGTCCCAGTTAATACTTCTTCTGCCTCGTGTGTGTTTTCTTCGATGTAATACACACTGGTCAGTGGCACAAAGGATTCCACATGAAGACAATAAAAAGAAGGTCTTACCAAGACCTTCAGCTGAAGAGGACCTCGGTGTAAGGTCATAAAATACTGTATTCAGTCTTATCATCCTGTTTCATTTCCGCCGTGTGGCATATTCTGCCAAACACAGATTGCGTTTGGCCAGATACGTGTATTGTGTTTGGAGAAATACGTGTATTGTGTTTGGACAGATACATGTATTGTGTTTGGAGAAATACGTGTATTGTGTAGGGACAGATACGTGTATTGTGTTTGGGCAGATACGTGAGTGGGGGTGGTTGGGAATTGAGTCGGACTAACATAATATGGGCCAGTAGGCCTGTTTCTGCAAGCTTGTTTTTTTAGGTGTGTGTTCATATTACATGTATGAGAGTGGGAACCTCTAAATAATACACAGGTCGGAATATTCTGACAAAAAAAAAAATTATTCGAATCCTCTAAATCTGTTATATGGATTCATAGCTCTTATTTCACTGACCCCCACCCCCCAGAAAAAATATCAGTGGGAGTTGGTGAGGAGGTTAATGAGAGGTGAGTAGTCACCCTCAATATCTTGAACAATTACCATTACCATTTGTGTAGTACCATCACTACGGAGACTAAGTACTACAAAGTTTAGAGTGATAGCTATTCACTGTTATTTAGTGGTGATAATATGCACATCAATTTTCAACCAGTTGATTTTTAAGGCTATGTAGACTCATAACTAAGGAGACTCAAAGCTAAAGAGACTCATAACTAAGAAGACTCAAAGCTAAAGAGACTCATAACTAAGGAGACTCAAAGCTAAAGAGACTCATAACTAAGAAGACTCAAAGCTAAAGAGACTCATAACTAAGGAGACTCAAAGCTAAAGAGACTCATAACTAAGGAGACTCAAAGCTAAAGAGACTCATAACTAAGAAGACTCAAAGCTAAAGAGACTCATAACTAAGGAGACTCGAAGCTAAAGAGACTCATAACTAAGGAGACTCAAAGCTAAAGAGACTCATAACTAAGGAGACTCAAAGCTAAAGAGACTCAAAACAAAGGACTCATTGTATTCATAGCTAAATGACTAATTATATTCAAATTGTCATCCATGTGTGTGTTAAGTGAATGACAAGAATAATTAGCTTAGTATATTGGAACGTTTCTAAGTATAGGTGTCTTCTTCTGTTAATCACTAATGATTTGCAGTAATATAGTGTAAACAAAACAAATCACACGTCACAATTCACTAACACTAGAGAAAAGATGTGGTTGCAAGGTACTAGGAAGAGAGCGCCCAGTGTCCTCCCACGGTGCTGTCCCACACTGAACTGTCTAGAGTGTTACTACTTGCATGTCTTATATACCCAAGTTCAGCAGGGACAGAAAAGCGAAGTGGGAGACATGTAAGAAGAAAAATGATCTATCAGCAAAACGCTTAGAAAGTGGAGAAATTTCTAAATCTGTTACATCCCTAGAATACTTTGACGCACTTTTATGGCTTCTATGAGACCGCCTGGGATAAATTAGATGCAGTTGTGACTGTAATGAGAAATTAATTCTCCCTTGTCACCTGCCGTGTTTGGTTGCATCACCAGACTTATAACTCACCAGGTCAGTCATCAGCTCAAGCCTCGAAGGGTTTTCATGTTTGCTCTTATTGCTATTACTTTTACATCTAACAAAACATACGATATATATTAAGGAAAAATTAAATACAGCCAATATTTCGCGCAATTTTGAAAGTAACAATACGAAAAGGAAGGAAGTGTATGGGAGTCGAACTGCCGAGTATCATAGGTAAGAGGCGAGCAAGTTACCCGTGCGCCATTGTCACTCTTAGAATATACGTGTATATACACTCTATATCCATGTATTGTTTGCAACGGATTGATAAAGCTCCTGGAGAGCGAAACGTTGCCACAGTAAAATGTCACATTAGCTGCACTTGTGCCCTTTTACCTAAGATAAAATAATTATTTTAGATTAATTACATAATCCACGTTCAAGTTTTACAGAACTCCAAGTGCTGGTTCAAGTGCCAATTTTTGTTATTATTCACAAGGACTAGAACTAGAACTTGGACAAGGTCTAGGTATAATTTTTTTTTCATTTATTTTAATATTAATAAAGTAAAACGTCGTCCTCCTCATGGGCACATAAAGTTTATTCTTATCATCTACTGAGTTTAGTTATTTTTATAATTATAGGGATACACTAAATCCGTAGGGTCGTGCAAGGTCTGGGGAATGGAAAGCAATACAGTTTGATCCAAGGAAGAGGACAGTGGCTAAAATTTTCACCGCCACCAAGGCACCTACGTTTGCTTGAAGTCACACCGAATAACGTTATACTTAACGTTATATCTTAATTTTAATTTAAATGAGGGTAAGGGATGTGATACACAGCAGTTTATGTGTCGAACCTCATTTGACACAGAGTCGATGCTCTCTCCTCAGTGAGGAAGATATGTTAACAAAAGTATCATGCAGGAGGCGTCGTTGGTCATGCAGAACACACAGGGAGGTGGTATAACTTGTGTGGGCCTTTGCTCTTACTTCGTCAAGAATTCTGCATTACATTCTAATATCAAGAATAGCTTGTTGATATGGAAAAAGACACAAATGCAGTATAATGCGAGTCTTTATTGAGAACGTTCCGCCCATACAGAAGACTTTATTAAGTCACGAACTGGGGGAGAGAGGATGCGTATATTCTGTTTATAGTGAGCGAAGTGACGTGAAAAGTCAGAACTCACGAACTAGAAATAAGACGTTTGCAAACCTGGAGCTTTACGACTCAAGATCCACGGTTTCTAACCCCATCCGTTCTGTGGTTTGTGAAGAGTCAGGTGAGGAATGCTGGGCAGACTGATTACCTCAAACTTCTGATCTACACCATTCTTCTTTGCATAAACTGATGAAGCCACTATGTGGCAAAACGTTTCCACAATTAAGATACCTAAGTGTTGCACAGAGGCACTGGTCATAGCGGCAGTGAAAGCACAATGGCAGTTGCAGTGCAGGGGCTTGAAGGGGAAAACAAGGGGAAAATCACTTAATTTTCTTCCTCTATGGCTATCATCCTTGTCCCCCTCGCCTATATATTCTGGCCCCTTCTCTCTTTTGTGTAATTACAAGTGGTTATAACTATGGCCATAAATTTTAAAGGGCAGGACAGGTAAGCCAGCGGAAGGCCTCGGTCAGATGACCAAAAGCTCCAACGGCGGGTCATCATACGACTAAGACCCGCGTCAGGAAACACTTGTCCTGTTTCTTGACGTAACTTACCTAACCTAATCTAACTCTTTTGGGTTAGTATGACTTTGTAAATGGTCCAAATCGCCGAAACATTGTCGTAAGCTCCTCTCTCTTAATTGTTGGTTCGAAGTAACATAGTAATAGTAACAGTAATCACAGCGTTCGAGTCCCAAATTATCAAAATAATTACCACTATTTTGAGGGAAGATAACAGCCCTGTGTAGAGAGAACAAAAACAAACTTGAAACCATTATTTGCAGGAAATAAGAAAGAGACATTTCTACGTTTAAAAACGAAAAGAGTATTATGTTATCTCCGCATGTAGGTCACCTGAGGCGCCTTTAGTAACTTACTCTGGCTGTCCACAGGATCCTTCCTTTAAAAGTAAATACTTTCACGTTTATGCGAGTAGGTTCATGGGGTTTATGAAATTTTTAAAGGAAATATGCGATTTCTTTTAATAAATGATCTCCAAGCGCAGCAATTTCTAATGGAATATTTTTTTAAAGATGTAGCTATTATTTTTTTTGCACTGACTCAACACTTGTATAGACCCGACTTTTGCAGAACCGCGACTTCCGTAAATATGCGACACTTTTACAAAGATGCGACACTCTTACAAAGATGCGACACTTTTACAAAGATACGACACTTTTACAAAGATACGACACTTTTACAAAGATACGAAGCTTTGATAAAGATGGAACAATTTTGCAAGGAAAAGCACGGCATATGTGTCTCCTTATATCTGGTTGTCTCTTGAGGAGCGGGTGACTTTGTGTCCAATAGCGGGATAGCAACATCACTGAAGGAAGGACTTGAATATTCCATTGAGTATTCCTCACACGAGTGAATGAGACACACAGACCACTGTTAAATATTCATGTGGTGAGTTCCATCACGTGTTTGTGTTGATACTGTGTTCTCAGTATTGTGAGAGTAAATCAAGGGTTATTCAACACCGTTCTTGTATAGGTCAAGAGCACATTTATACATTTATACATGAATAAATGTGTGTGTGTGTGTGTGTGTGTGTGTGTGTGTGTGTGTGTGTGTGTGTGTGTGTGTGTAGGCACCTAGATATATTCACCTAGTTGTGGTTGCAGTAATCGAGTCTCGGCTCCTGGCCCCATCTCTCAATTACTCTATTTGTGTCATCAAGGCTCCTGCTTCTCCCCGTGAGACTAGCATTTAAGTCATGAAAGTGGGAATAGGGAAAATGTAATGAGTGATTCAGTACATGAGTTAAATTAAGATAAGCTTTTTCAGGAAATCTACGAATATTTTAGAGACAATAATATATATTTGTTTACTTGTTCTGAGGGTACGTTCATGTATTAGGCAAACAACAGTGGTCCAGACATTATGTCCCAATGGAAATAATTCGCGCGGCGACTTATATCCATTGGGATCAAGGGTATATACTATATACAGAGAGGTGTTTATCTTTCGATGTATATGTACTGGTATATATACTTTACTTTCATCCCCATTATAAGGATCAAAGTATTATTGACTGATGTTGTATAGATTTCGTGCAGCCATAATAACCCTTGCTTAGTATATATACTGAAATATACACACCTCTATGCAACAATTCTTCAAGAAAAAAATGTTTTCTTGAGCAACAAATCACATTGTATGATCTATGAGATATACTGAGATGAAAAATATGCCAGTAAATTAACCATCAAGACCTGTATAATACACTAATGTCACAAAGTTCGCTAATAACAGCCAATAATATGCCGTTCAAGAGAGAGAAAAAAAAATGCTTGTTGCAGACCCTCCATGCAACAGAGAAAGGAACCATTTTCTATATTGCAGAGATGAGTGCACTAGAGGAAGGCAGAAAGTGGGAAATTCTCGACCATCACTCTCTAGAGTACATGTGGAATTGTTGTGATTATTTTAAGAGCAATTTTATTCATATTTATTGCAGAATTCAAGTTTTTTGCAGTTGTCGTATAGAGTAAGTTATGAAAAATAACCACAGTGAAAAAATACTTGAATCCCAATCGCGAAAAGCTCGAAATTCCACTATTTTTTAAAAAAAATTTTACGGGGAGGGGATGTTGTGATATCTGTTTGCTGTGATCTTATTGCATAGTATCGTATGTATCAAGTAACTTAAGGTTAATGATAAAATCAAGCACTGTGACCTGTTTTCATATGGGTCCTTGGTTTTCTAGGTTAACGAGCGGGGGTTCAAAGCCTATCGACTACACTATGGTCACTATGGCTCCAGTAACCTTCTCACCCCCACAAAAGAATACTTTAATCCTTACAACAGGGATTAAGTAAACTCCCAGCATGTATTCGCTGAGAGAACTACATCTCTGTGTACATATCTTGCAAGGTCTTTGTGTTACATGTTGTGTAGTTAGGAATAAATATATATAGCGTTCTATCGTCTACAATTATTAACATTAATAATCTAAAGACATAAATATATACAAATTACATGAATGTTAGTTACATGGTTATATCTCAATTATTTCCACTAAAAATTAATATTAAATAAATATATCATTTACATGGCAGTTTTAGTTACGTTTCCTCTAAATTTATTAATAATAAAAATAACAAGAAGCCTTAATAACCCTCGCGTAGTTGATAGGTTTTTAGTCCCAATTAGCCAGCTTTATTCTATGACTAAGATATTACAGCCTCAGCAGGAAGAACAGAAGTAGTAGCAGGAAGAACAGAAGTAACAGCAGGAAGAACAGAAGTAACAGCAGGAAGAACAGAAGTAACAGCAGGAAGAACAGAAGTAACAGCAGGAAGAACAGAAGTAACAGCAGGAAGAACAGAAGTAACAGCAGGAAGAACAGAAGTAACAGCAGGAAGAACAGAAGTAACGCAGGAAGAACAGAAGTAACAGCAGGAAGAACAGAAGTAACAGCAGGAAGAACAGAAACAGCAGCAGGAAGAACAGAAGCAGTAGCAGGAAGAACAAAGCAGTAGCAGAAGAACAGAAGTAACAGCAGGAAGAACAGAAGCAGTAGCAGGAAGAACAGAAGCAGTAGCAGGAAGAACAGATGTAACAGCAGGAAGAA